TTTAGAGCTGGAATTTCAACCCCATTTCTTCTCTCTCCCCATCAAGGAGCCACACCAAACTTGGCTCTGGTAGGGCCTTTGTGTGGTAAGATGTTGGCAATAATAAACCTGCATATTCCATCTTTGCCTAGAAAATAGGAGGAGGAATCTCTTTTCCTTTTTGATGGCTATTTGGAAATCTTAGAGTGGGAGGGGGTAGGCTTTTAGGACTCCAATTCTTAGAATGGTTTGGGAGAGGCTCAGAAATTCTTGGAACACCTCTGACTTCCCACAAATCATGGTTCATATTCTATCTAGGTCCCTACTACATATCCACACAAAAAGTATTGAAGATGGCAGGAATGAGGGAAGGAAATCTGCACACATCTACTATATTCCATCATTTTACATAAATTATCTCATTTAATCCCCCAGCATTCTTCCCAGCAGAAATTATTATTCCCATTTTACAGATGAGGAAACTGAGGCAGAGAGCTGTGCAACAACTCAGGTAGGTTCATACATAAGTAACGGCAGGGGTTGGATTTGAACTGAGAGTCTTATTTTAAAGACCACCTGTTTATTAATAAAATTATAACTGCCTCTCCTGAGGTTCTTGCCATTCCTCTTTAGGGAGTGAAGGAGGAGGAAGTGGTTTAGACAAGATTTTTGGAAAACGGTAGTCAGTACATGATGAGATAAGCAGTCTGGAAGCCTAAGGGGGCGGGATGGAGGAGGCGGTTAAAGGGAGGCATGACAGGCAAACTACTGGTGTTGAAGACTAGATGTCAACACAGGCAAGGAATGGGGCTTGAGGCTAGGGTACTCAGCCAGACTTCCTGCCCCCCTGACCCTTCGCCTGAGGCATCATGGCAACAGTCATATTTACACATGACCTGATTCCTCCCCTCCCAATAAACAAAGCGTCTATGAAGTTGTTTATGGTTTCCTAAATTAACTCCATTGCCAATATGGCCTAAATAATGAGTGTGTCTTTGCTTACTCATCTCCAAATCTTTCCAGTGGTTTCTGGAAGCCTCCTTGGCCCCACCAGGCATAGAAAGCTCTGGAGTGCTGACCTGGTTTGCAGCATTTGGAGATGATCCCTTAACTTCAACAAATTCGATTTACCAAGCTTCTGACAATAGGCAAACAGGCATGTTAGGTCAGAGACTTTGCACAGAGCTGAATTCCGTTCCTGTTTCTACTTTGTGTGGTTTGGCGACCCTCCTGAATTTCTCTGCATCCTCAGGTGACTCACCTGTTAAAAATGAGATAAGGACTTCTTCCTCACAAAGATATGTAAAACCAGTGCTCAGTAATGGTAACTTTTGAGGCTATTGTTGAGCTGGGTTTTCTGATGTGTATTGGAGGTACAAAGCCAGATCTTGCTCTCAAGAGGCTCTCCGTATAGTGGAAGAGACGTGCTCATAGGCAGAATAATGAAATTCCAGAGTGAGAACTACATCAACAACATGTGGACAAGGTAAAGGGGTAGAACCACAAAGAGGGGAATGAGGCCAGCCCAGGTAGGGGTGGGGCGAGACAACTTCCTGGAGATCATGATCAAAGGCATGGGCAGATGCCCAACTTCGGTTAATCTGCAGCCACAACTTGGATGGCCAAGATTTCATCAAAGGATGCCAGCTATTTGCTTCCTGGACTCCTTGCTCGTTAGCCTTGCTTTGAAAGCAAAAGACTTTCTATTAAAGTCAAAGGCTTCCTTCAAGAGGAGTTATGGATTCTGAAATAATCTGGTTCCAACCACCCTAAGTTAAAAGCAACACACATTTAAAAAGCTGGTTAGGGTTCAGAAAATTGGAGACGATCGTGAAGGAAGAAGTTAAGTACCTACTGTGCCTATGTGGAAGATGGCAGGTAGGAATTAATATTTTTGAGGACCTCATATACACCATGCACTGTCATGTAATTATTACCTCATTTAATCCTCATAGGCACCCTGTGAAGGTTTTACTATCCCTCTCTTACAGATGAGAAAACCAAGACTTGCAGTGTTAAAGATGTGTGAGAATCTAAGAGGGTTGCACAGCTAAGCAAGTAGTAGAATCAGTATTAAAACCCAAGTTTGTTTTTGTCCAAAGCACATGCCTGTGCCAGGCAATCTCCCAAACACGTATTTACACATGACTCTTCTCCTTCCTTTTCCAAGAACCATGGTATTTATGAAATTGTTTGTGGTTTTCTAACTTGTGCCAACCTGGCTCAAATGGTGAGTGCTTTTTTAAGCATAAACATGAGAGGTGCCCTTGAATCTTTCAATATATCTATCACAGATTGATTGTACTAATGATCCTGATAACTGGCCTCTTTATAGTCAGAGTCTTTGTAATGTGACTTTGCAGCTTCTCCCATTAGAAGGTAGAATCTATTTCCCTTCCTTTAAATCTGGGCTGCTCTTGTGATTTGCTTTGGCCAATAGAACATGGTGGAATGATAGAGTGCTAGTTCTGGGCCTTCGTCTTGAGAAGACTTGTGAGCATCTGCTGTCACTTGGAACCCTCCCAGGCCTGGACCAGCCAGGCGTGGGCATGTGAGAGACACATGGAAAGAGGCTCAAATCATCCCAGATGAAGCCATCCTAGATCAGACAGCTTCTAGCAGACCTGTCTGTTGACCACACACACAGGCATGAGTCAACTCAGCCCTGCCCAGAACAGCAGAAGCACCCAGTCAACTGGTGGACTCATGAGAAATAAATAACTACATGTTTGCTGTTTGATGCTACTAATTTTGAAGTGTTTTTTTAATGCATCAGTAGTTACTTGATATAACCAAAAAGTAATTGTCTTTTTAATTAGAGGTCAATAAAGGGAAAACATTGATTCAATTAATAGTCAGTACTCCAATTGGGACTGATTGTTTTCTAGATCTGCTGTAAGCTGTCATCTCAGAATCTCCCTTTATCATCATCTTAGGAATGCCCTTTACTTTGTTTTCTGAGACTTGTGCCTTCCCCTTTCTTGGTAACTCCCTTGTTTTGATGGAGTACATCCATTGGGAGTTGCCTGAGAATGAGTGAATAGTTTTGGAGACTATGCACACCTAAAATGTCTTTATTCTACCCTTGTACTTAATTTGTGGTTCGGCTAAGTTAGAATTCTAGCTTGGAAACAACTCTCTCAGAATTTTGAAGGCACTGTTTCATAGTCTTCTATCTTCTAATGCAGCTGTTGAGAAGTCTGATTCTATTCTGATTCTTTTGTTTTGTTTTGTTTTGCTTGGTTTTTGTTTTTATTTTTATTTATTTATTTATTTTATTTCAGCATATTACAGGGGTACAAATGTTTGATCCCCTATATGATACCTATTTTTCCTTTCTAGAAGCTTATAGGATCATCTCTTTGCCCTAAATATTATGAATTTTTAAGATAATGTCCATTAGTGTTAAGTCTGTTTTCATCCATTGCACTAAGCACTCACTTGGCCCTTAGTCAAGATATTCATGTTCTCAAATTGGGGAAATTTTTCTTGATTTATTTCTTAGATGATTTATCTCTATTCATTTTCTTTGTTTTCTCTGTCACTCCAATTATAATAGGTGCATGTTAAATTTCCTGTACTGGGTCTCAATCTTTCTAATACGGTCCCCTCTGTTTCCATTTCTTTCTTTTTGTTCTATTTTCTGGGGTATTTCTTCAGTTTTACCTTCCAAGCCTTCTGTGAAGTTTATTTTTTAAATTTGTCATTGCACATTTAAATGTTTAAAAGCTCCTTTGTCAGGTGTTCTCTGTATGTTCCTCTTCATGCTAGCATTGTGTTTTTGCTTCGTAGACACATTATCTCCTCTTATCTTGCTGAAGCTATTAATGGTCATTTTTTAAAAAAATTTCTTCTCTGTGAAGTTTTTTTTCTGTCAAGTTGTTCTTTCCTGTGCGCCTTAGTCCCTGTCTTTAATACTGACACCTTCTTCAAATGTCTGGTGCTACTTGGCTGTGGCTCATGTGTGAGAGTGAGCCACACGAAGCGGACCGAGAGTGCTGTGTGTCTGGTGGGGGTTGAGATGAGATATTCACTGTAGATTTCTTGGTTGGGTCACGTCCTGGGGGAACTACCACGTTAGTATCTTCAGGGTTTTCTCTCAGGCTTCTAAGATTCCCCAGGAAGACCGAGCTTCTGCCTGAAGGATATATGCCTAGCTGCCAGAATTCTGGGAGCCAAGTTGGGGGGCGACGTCTAAGGAGTCTCAGTATTCCTTAGGCATGGTTTCACTATTTCAGTATGGAATTTCTAATGTCAACTGTGTACATCATGCTGCCCTTTAACCAGAGACTTTCTATTTTGCCCTCTCCAGAATATAAACTCCCAGACTTTTGCTGAGATTGGGAAAGAACAGGACTCAGCTACATAGAGTAGGGAAGGGGACCTGGGGCTCTAACTGCTTCTTAAATAGACTTTAAGCCTATTCTAATTGTAGCCTCATCTTCCCCGCCACTTCCAGAGTAGCTAATGAGACTTTTGGTGGTTCTGCCACATCAGTACAGTGGCTTCTCGACTTTCACCACCGCTGGCTTCGGATTCAGTTTTTCCAGATTTGTTCAGTTTTACTAATTAGCCACCACTTTTCAGCTTCAAATTTTTGTTGCTATTGTTTCTTCTTGCAAGCTCTTCAACTCCTTTGTTTTATTCCTTTTGGGGATATCTCTTCGTTGTCTTTTTAAAGATTTAAATGGGGAAATGGAGTCTCTTCACTCTCCTCTGTTTAACTGGAAGTTCAGGAGTAGTTCTTGGCTTTTAAAGAAATAAATACTTCATAGCATCTCATTTAGTTTGAAAAATGTGGACCACACACCTCCTATGGAAAATCAAACTTTCTCCATAAGAAGACTCTCAAGTGATGGAAACCTATGATTTTTCCTTTTAGAAAAAAATGAGATGAGTGTGAGCTTCAGCTACCTCAGAAACCTTTGACTTTGTGATTCTAGATCACCCAGACAGCCAGATAATCACAGTTCTGCCCCTCTCAGCCTCCCATCCCCTTAAATTAGAGACTCCTGAGTCCATTTTCTTTAGTCTTTTAATGTCAGCCTTTTAATATTTTCCAATAAGTGCTTTCAACTGAGCAACATACATATCATGCTTTCCTAATTATTATTGGTCCATCAATAAATATACAAAAACCATAAGAAGGGTGTGCTCTGAAAAATCGAAGTAGCAATAACAATGGTCATTGTACAGTACATGCATGAACAATGAGCTATTCTTTAAAAATTTAACACAAATGATTTGCAAAAAGACATATCTGTGACAGAAAGGTGAATGGACCATGTTATTCTTGTCCTTAAGTATATTTTACTTTTCCAGAGAAGTAGAATGTTTCCTTCCTTCTACTCCTCTGCTGTAGAATGTTGGCTATAAAATCAATTCTTGGTGTTATGGACCTCCATGGAAAACTTTTTGAAGGGTTCTGCTGGAAAAATCCATTCTGCTAGACTGGAAATACGCATTTGAAGGTGTCTTTTGCCTCATTTGATTTTTTATTCAGAGCTAAATTTAAGAGAAGCCCTCAGGAGACATAAAAGATTTACAATTGCAGGAAAAACTACATCTTAAGCTCCCAGGTTGCTTTGCAAAATAATTAAATTCTGGCCCCTTACTTTTATCGATAAGACCCAGTTTAATGTATTAGCCCAGGTCACCTGGCAAATCACTGGTAGGAATGTAGTCAAGTTGTGCTTCCAAAGTTATGGCCATTATGCCAAGGGGGTGAGAAGGCATTCTAGTCCATGAACTTCAGGCAATATTTCAGGGTTATAACAAAGACTTGGACAGCTCTCCACTCATGGTGGCCACAGAAGGGAAGCTCTAGACCTCCCTTATTTCTATCTTGAGAACACAGAGGTATAGCCAAGTGGGAGACTACAATAATAATAAAAGGAAAGATGATATTTTATTCCAAAATAAAGTTGAAAACAATCTCCTATTCTAGCCTATTTGTTGGGCATGTCTAGAATGGGTGGAAAACCATCCCTAGCTGTGAAACTTGTGTGACTATCCATGGCCCCAAGCAAAATCTGGGGAACAGGTAGAACCTGGCACAGCCCTCTTGACTCTGGTCTCCGAGCGGCTTGTTGCATTTGGGTTAAAGAGCCTGAGTGAGCCTGTTTGGGTCTGTGGCAGACCTAAGAAAGCTCTGGGAAAATAAGGGGCAGTTAACACTAGTGGCAGTAACAACAGAGAGTGGTCTAATGTCTTCTTCTTTCAACTTGAAAAGAAAATATAAAGAAAGCTGGACAGCTGAATATGGAACTGGCCAATGATATTCACAGAGGAAGAGCAAGGAGGTTTTTCAAGATCATGGGGCAGGGGTGGAGGGAGGGAGGAGAGAGGATAGATGTGGAAGAGCAGAGGTTGGGAATCAGTGCAGAAAGTCGGCATCTCTGCTTTAAAGATACCCTTCAGATTAACTCTTTGTATAAACCCAGCCCTGTTTTAGGTTGGAGCTTTTCTTCTTCTTCTTTTTGCTTTGTGGTCTGAGAAACATTGCCTGTAAGTCTGTAAGTTTGGGTAACAAGTGACCCTTTATGGGAGCCTAAGAAAGGGGGTCCCACTTTAGAGGAACCCTTACTTTAATAGAGTCAATGATTTCTATTGCAAGTGGCCTTTGGAAGTTCCAGGACCAATGGGACATCCTGACTAATGAATAATGCCACAAAGAATGGCCAAGTGGGGGAAAACATGAGGTCAGAGGATAAAGCTATTATTCACTTATTTGGTCCTAAGCTTGCCTATCTGGTGATAAGATTCCAATGGTGGGAAGCCCTGTAACCTTTGAGGGACTTCCCAGGCACTTAACTCATCCTGAATAGCAACTACCTCAGGGACAGACAGAAGCTTGTTAAAGTGCATACACCTGCAGCCATAACAATACTCCAACAAGAGCTATATTCATCCTCCTCTGCCACAAGCCATCCAATCAGTTGGCCACTGACCATACTTTTTCATTTCTATTGGCTTTTCCTTTTATTATCAGATGTCAAAAGGCACTTCTGTATCATTTATGGAAATCACTAATAGGGTTAGCGTCTATGAAATGGGACCCCACAAATGACAGGTCATGCAAACTTAATGTGGCTATTCAAAGCTCTTCACGAGAGAGAAAAGGTGGTTGTTAAACCACAAAAGTGGCTGAAGCTCCTCTGCTCACAATTCTGACTCCAGGACAGGACAGAACGACTTTGGACAGCTCAGAAATCAAACAGTGCTGTCTTCCTTGATTTCCTATGAGATTTGGCTGAGTGGGTCTGAGTGGGGGCTGAGGGGCTCAGAGATGAAGACTTTAAGGAGTCTTCCTCCCATTCTCAGATCTTCCTGGTGAGCTCTAGGGACCCAGATCTTGCTGGTTTAGAAACTGAAGGATCACAGCACAAAAGGTTAAGATGGAAGAAGTACAGATGTTTATTATGACTCAGTTTGAACCCCTTTATGCCTCTGACAAAATAACTTTAAAAAATCAAACTGATCAAAGGACCTCCAGGGTTAATATCTCAAAAACACAGATAAATAGCTTACTACAGATAAATAGCTTCACCCTTTGGGTGTCTCCCAGAAGCATCTGAAAAATTTCTAGGAGGTCTGTAGAAGGGGATGTATAACCGGTACACCCCAATCCCCAAACCCACAGGGAAGCAATGCCCGAGGATTGGGCTGCTGAGGGGGCAAAAAGGACACAATCAAATTTCCTCCCAGGAACCAATCCCTCTTAGCCCTGGGGAATGTCCTTAGTTGATGGCTGTTACCTGGGAGTAGGGCTGGGGAAGGCTGGGGATCAGGAATATGTATTCGTAGCTTTTGTTAGAAGCCATCCTTAGCACACCCAGGGGAGGAAAGGCCTCTAGGCGGGAACTGGAACAGTCACTGATTATTAACTGGGCCCTCATTTCAGAAAGCAATGCTGTTTTTATAAATTGGACCTGACTTTAAAAAACAAAACACAAAAAACAAAAAGGAATGGAAAATTTTATGCTAAAAAAAGATTCCCAATGAAACAATCAGTAGCACATTGCATCCATTAAATGTCCCAGTTCCCTGTAACATAGTCATGTCTCCAACTGTTGTTTCTTTTCAAGATAACGGTGTCAGCGTTACACCCCAATCTTCATGTCCACATTCTGCAGGTTCCGCGTCTCATCGGCTGTCATAAACTGGTCTGGGGTCTCCGATGGCTCCTTGTTCACCAAATGCACCATTTCCTGAGACTTGCTGGCTTCTCCGTTGAGTCCACTCGGCTTTCTGTCCTCCACAGCTCCATTGCCATTGTTGATAACCAGCTTTTTCTTCTGTCCGCACCTAATAAGTTTTGGAAAATCATATGAGACAGGTGCAACGACTGAGTCATCACCATGATGATCATCGCCCTTGTGGAGCATCATCAAGATCATCGCTGTGGTTTATGATGGTCTTAGCACGGGCCAAGCACTGTGCTGGGTGCCTTCTTGACTTTATCTAAATGACTGTTAACAACCAGCACTTCTCCAAGTTAGGTCCCTGTGCCAGAAGTAAAAACGTCATCTGCGAACTTGCTAGAAATGCAAATTGCTAGTCCCAGCCCAGACCTATTGAATCAGAAAACTCTAGGGCTGGGGCCCAGGGTCTGTGGTTTAACAAGCCCTCAGGGGGCTTCTGATACACAGTCAAGTTTGAGAATCGGCACCCACAACTCCAGGAAGCCAGTGCTATTATCATTCCCCTGTTACAGGTAAAGAAGCCTTAAGGATCAGAAAATTCAGTAACTTGCTCCCCAAGTTACTGAGCAAGTAATAAAAGAGTCAGGATTCAAACCCTGCTCTGCCTGACTCCCAAGTTCTAGTTCTCCTTCCACCATACCGCGCAGTGGAAATGTTTGCTTCTTTTAATCACTCGAGCAGTTTCTGCAAGCTGAGCTAAACCATCATCAACAGAATGATTGTAAATCATTCTGATATGTGTATTCAAGAAAGTCCTGTTACTTCCTCTTCCAGTCAACGCTTTGTTGGCCTTGCCAGTGTTATTATTACAAGCACTGGGAAAATAAAACATTTTTCTAGAAGTATAAGGTCATATTGATGTTCCCCTAATGTTGGTTAACTTCCATGTAATCCTGGCATAGGAAGTTTAACAACATAAGACAAAGTGTTCACTGTTGCTTTAAGGTTTCTCAAACGTTACTTAAAATTTAGATGCAGAAGAGGGTTTCTGTGAAAGAGCATGACCTTGATCTTATCCCCAGGTACTGTCCATTGTCTCACCCCACCCAGCCTGGCGAAATGCTTCCTCTTTCCTGTAACACATCACTGCTACGCATATCGGTGTCCCATTATGCTTAATGGAAGCAAAGTTGCACAGCCTCACAACTACAAGCGAGATGGGGTTGGGGGGAAGTGGACTAACATTTATCGGACACCTCCTGAATGCCAGACACCTTATCAGTAATTTCCTATAATTCTTAGAATAATCCCACAAAGCAGCTACTATCCCCATTGTAGAGCAGTGGACGTTGAGACCCAGAGAAGTTTAATAACTTGCTGGAGGTCACACAGGGAGTAAGACTGACAGAGTCAATATACAAATCTAGGCCTTTATGACCCACAGCCTGGCTCTGCCTGGCTCTACTCATGCTGCCCACCATCTGGAGATTTGGAAACATATGAAGTTGGAATTGTTCACTTTGCTGCTAGATATTTGGGAGCGGTAGAGACAAAGCCTCTATTATTCATGATCATGGGCCATTCCTTGTAAAACTGCCAAGGCCATAAAACTTAGTCTCTTGTTTGGGGAAGTGGAAATTATACCTCCTCAACAAGAGGTAGATCCTGTCTCCTCTGGCATGAGGCTTGGTGAGGGTTGAGGAGGAGGACGTGTGAACCATGAAACAGATTCACAGAGGCTGGGCATAGGGATGGAGACCACATAGACAGCAGAGCACATTGGTCAAGAGGAGGGCTTTAAAAGACCTGGTTTTGAGACCTTACTGCTGTGTGACCCGGGGCAAATCACTTAACCTCTCTGAGCCTCAGTTTTGCATCTGTAACATCAGGTTATTAAGAGTACCAATTACCACAGGAGGGTGAAAAGTCCTTGAAACAAGGCCCGGCACTCAATAAATGAGTCTATTATTGTTGTTGTTGCTCTTACGAACAATGTGGGGCAACAAAAAACTAAGGCCTTGTGAATAAGCACTTAGAACAGTGTCTGGAACTCAGTAAGTGTTCAAGAAGTGCTGGCTGTATTTGTTAATATTACGAGATCCACAAGAAATCAATTTCACTTGTTTCTTCTGGCTACCGCCATCTGCCTTGCTAGATTTACTATGAAGACGCCTTAAAAGGCTGAAGGCAGAATGCTGCTTGTATTATTTAACATTCTCAGGTGCTACCATGTATTCTTTGGAGGAAAGTTGCCTAATTAAAGTAATTCCCATTTGCCTACCCAATGGGTAGTTGAGAGGTGGAATGAAATACTGTGGGCAAGTAACTGATGAGCATAAAAATATGCCTGTGTATGGGCCTGGGTGGAGACGAATGTTATTAATCTAAATGAAGCTGATTTTGAAAGGAGATAACACCCAACCTGCAGAACATGGCAATGTCGTGCTTGGGCTTGGACTTACCCCATTTGCCTTTGCAATTACGTGTCTCTGTTATCTGAGTCTTTCAGGAGGATAGGACCATTCTCATAAATAACTCAGTCTGATGTTTGGTGCTCTAAGCGTCTACTAAGTGCTTTTAAAAGACAAATTCTAATTTTTTCATTCTTCTTAGTTATAGGAGTTCAAGAAGGAACACTAGAGCCAAAGGTGCTCCCGAGATGGAGCCCAACCTCTTCCTTATGGAAACGAGACACTGAGTCCAAGAAGTCCAGGGTATTGTCTAAAGCCACTGCTAGTGACGGCACTGCCAGAATCACAACTTGGATTTTCTGACTGCAAAGATCAGAGGTCCCCAGTGAACTGCATATTACCTTTATCTCCTCTTCCCTTAAATCTCAGGCATTAGCTGAGCATATGACAACCACACGATGTGGAAAGAACCAGACTGGGACCTCACCAAAGAAGGTGGACAGAGTGGGTGGGATTTAGAAACTGGGCGACATGTATTTAGGGCACAGTGGAATTTATCTTAAAAGACTTCAGTTACTTAACAACTGATCTCATGTCTCTTCTACCTAGCCACCCTTAAAGATATTTAGGGATTTATTTTGCATCGTTTTAGAGCAGTGCCGCCCAATACAGTAACCAGCAGCCACATGTGGCTATTTAAATTTAAATGAATTAAAATTCAATAAAATTAAAAATTCACTTCAGTTGAACTAGCCAGAGCTCGAGTGTTCTGCCAGAAGTAGCTAGTGGTTATGTATCAGACATGTGCAGATATAAAACATTTCCATCATAACAGAAAATTCAGTTGGATAGCACCATTCTAGACAGCAGGATGAGGTCAGGTGAGTGTAGATTACAGGGAGCTAGGCTGTAGCATAAGAAAAGGAAGGCACTTCTAGTTCATGGAGATTTATAGAGGGGACCTAAGCAAGCAGAGTATGGGTGACACCCTGCTGGGGTTTATAGAAAAGATGACTATTCCCATTAAAGTGAAGGCTGGAGGATGCCTCTTCTGCACAATCAGCACAGAAACATTTTTAAATCATTCCTGTGTTGTGAAGCCTTCCCTGGTAAAGTCCTCCTATTTTTTCTTCTCTTCAGACAAATCAGATAGATTCTCTAAGGCAAAGGATTCTTCTTCTCTCGGGCCTCATCCAATATCTATCGACCCCACTGACACCTGAAACAATTGCTTGCTCTCAAGGAGAGTGAACAAAGTACGGTTTCCATCGGGAAGCCATCATTCAGGACTCAGGTGACATGAAGAAAGAAAAGAAAGCTGTTGCGAATGATGGCAGGGGTGTGAAAAGCTGAAGAAATAACAGAACCCCCTAAACCAGCATCTTCAAGACGACACGACTCACAGATCACTTCGTCATGGGAGTCTTTGGTCAATCCTTACACGCCCACTTCAGGGACTAACGCTTTTCCACTTTTGTCGTTAAACCGTAATTCATATAACAACAATGCCTGGCACAGAGAATGTTTTCAGTAAATATTAGCTGACTCAAATTTAGCAGGCCAATACTGCCACTAAACCTCAAGATTCTTTTAGGAAATGGAAGGTACTCTTCTCGTGTTTTACTTCCCTTCCTCCTCGCTGGTGCCCATAGTCGTAGGTGCCACTCGAAAGATGTTTGCTGAATACATGAACCCCTGTGGGAGGCCCCCTTTTCGATCAAACTTTCCTTGATGAAAATAGGATTCTCTATCTCTCTTAAATGTAACGCTCAAAGCAGCAAGGCCCCAGCCTTTCAAGAAGATTAGAAATGGGTTGTCAGCTTTAGAAACACATTAAGGGGCCCATGCAGCCGTTAACCACCCTTTAGCTGCGTGGCAAATCTGTTTTCAATTATCAAATCAGGACATAGTAATTTATGGCGTCCAAGCAACTACTTTCCCGGTGAGATACTCGCTGTGCTGGTTCCTGTGTGTCCCTGTTTGCCTGTTGCTAGGGCGACTGCCTGTCTTGGGAGGCGGGAGAGGGTAGCAAGGAGGCCCCTTCTCTGCTGCAGACAAGACAGGGAGTGACGTGGGAGCCACCCAGCCACAATGCATGGGCTCCAGCTGCTCTCGGGGACAGCTGAGATGCTTCTCCTAGGTCTCCCCCACATCGACAGCTTACGAGCCAACATTGCCATGGTGACATGTGCAAAGCTTAAGGATTGTGTATGTGAGCAAAAGTGGTGCATTCTAGGGCCTGGAACAAAAGGGCTGGTTCCAAACAATAGGAAATTCATATTTAATTGAGCAAAAGCAATCCAAGGGAAAATAAGGAAGCTGAGGGGAAGTATAAAGACTCTTTGTAAGGACTCCCCCAAGTCACGTTATTTAAATTCAACTAAAAAAAAGATCTCTTTCCATTTAATCATAGGAGCCATTTAGGAGGTCTTTTAAATTTTTTGCCCTAGTTTTTGTTCCTTATGTAATCTGCTATCATGACTCCTTTTTTTTTATTATGCCCTCAAACATATAGATAGCAGCACAGTTATTTGATTTCAACATAGCACTTCTATTAACTTGTACCAGTGTAAAACGGCATTATCTGATTTTCTCAGATAATTAGAGAGGCTCCATGGGCTGCGCCTGGCATTGAAATTAGCTGTTCGATGCTTTCCAAAAGCCAACAAGAAAGAGTCTATAATTCCCTTTATGTCTTCTCCCAAACTGAAGGCCCTTTTCTGTCCTGTGAGATAATCTAGGGTCAATAAACGTCACCCTGCTTGGAAATAAGATTCTTTTACCTTATAAGAAGTAATCTCAAGGGATTCAAAAGGTTTAACGTTCCCATGCATATGCTCGGAGAAAAATCACGTATCTTCAAAGCATCATGAATAGGAGATTTAGACTTACACTTTTGGAGCAGCCCTGTTAAATAAAGTTCATGTCCTCTGTTGATAGAATTATTATTTTCCTTCATTTCACTTTAGGCAATGTTATTTCCGGAATCTGGTCATGGCTAAACCAGGCGTGTGTGTGTGTGTGTGCGTGTGTGTGTGTGTGTGTGTGTACATCATGTAAATAACCTCCAAAACCTCCAGGACTTGGTTGGGGTAGGGAGAGAGAGTGGCTTTTAAAGATATGAAAACAGCCCACATGCTGGTTCTAAGAGCTGACTGTGTTCGTTCAGACTTTCCTAAAAAGAAAACCTCTTCATTGTTTCATAGACCTCACAGTTAGGAAGCTCTTCCTAGGCTATAACCAGAATCCTTTCAACTGTAGCTTCTAGGATATAGAAGATACCATCATTATGAAAACAAACAACACACAGAAACACAAAACCAATGCCCGCTTTGGGTAAGGTTCTCAAAGGATCTGTGGGCCTCAGATAGGCTACAGGGGATGACCAATCCCTAAATCTTTATACAACATTTTGTGTGTTGTGAATGTGCTTGCTATTTGTTTAATGACTCAATGAATGAATATATACTTTTATATGCCTTTCTGGTGAGAGATTTCATGACTTTTATCAGATAGAGTTTCCATGAAGTTTAACTCTGAAGAAATTAAAAACCACAAGATTCAACCACTATTTAAAAGTGATGGTCAAAACAATGAGATGTGTCTTCATTCTCCAAATAAAGAGACAGACAAGAGTTTCTTAAACTGTACCCTGCACACAAATTCTTGGAATCTTGTTAGAATGCAGATGCACATAGGAGGTCTGGCCTTGGGTTGAGATTCTGCATTTCTAACAAGCTTCCAGGGTGCCCAGGCTGCTGGTTCCAGGGACTATGCTCTGAGCAGCAATATAAAGCCTATGCCTAAATGATGTTCTTTCCAAGTTGAAATCCCTGAGGGACAACCCCTTACCTTCTTCGACTGTTGACAGCAATGCAAACTGCAAGGATCAAAGCCAAGGCCAACAGGGATGCCAAGATGATCAGCCATTCTGGTGTGAGTAGACCAAAAGACAGGTATGAGCTTCAGGAATATGCTTTGTAAAAACAAAAATGCACTCTATAAATTGACCCGGTCCAAACAAGAACCATAGTCCTCACTGCAGAAGGGTCTGACCAATAGCTTCAGCCAATAGGCGGATAATTCTGGAAGAGCAATTTTGCTTTAAGTGTTTGTCCAACAGGCTTCTTGCTTTAATCTTCCATCACCAGTCAGGATTTTCAAGTTCCCCCAAGAGAAACATGTTTCCAAAAGTTGAAACTTGTAGATGCCTTTGGTGCAATATTATTAAGTAGATTAAAGGAAAGTCTGTGTCCTTTGAAAGGAACATTCTTTTCCTACATAAGAGCACCCAGCTTACATTTTATTAAGAAACAAAAATGGAAGCCACATTCTGTTAACAGTGTGTAGAGCAAAGGAAACTCCAGCGGAGGGTGGAAGGAGAGTGAACTTGTGCACACTCATCGGAGGGTCATTTGGCAACACTTGATAACAGCCTTCAAAATATTCATGCCTTTGATCCAGGAGTTACACTTCCAGGAATTTATAGGACCTCAGAATTGGCTATAAAGATGTTTATCACTTTGCTATTTATAATAGTAAAAGTTGGAAACAACCTAATATCCAAAAGTAAGGAATTGGTTAAATAAGTTAGGGCATGTGTATTATGTACTACGATATGGCAAAAAATATTTTATATATTTAATGATATGCAAAGCTGTGGCCAACCAGCAGGGAATGTTTACTAAACAGCATGTATGAATCATATTTTGGTTCATAAATTACATTGAAAAATGACAGGAAGGACATATAATAAAATACAGTAACCACGGCATTTCTGGATGGTGAGATAGATAACAAATGATTTATATTTTCATCCTTCTATCTAGCTGTATTTTCTAAAATATCTTCAGTAATTATGTGTCACTTGTGGGCTAATAAAATATCATGCACATGTTTTAAAACCAGGCTTTAATAAAATTAAAATATGACTTGACGACTCAAATAAATTCAGTTGCAAAGTGGGTTTATATATCTGTGCAATGAATCGGGGCTTGAGAAAGAAGGATGGCAAGTCATTCACTGTCCCTTTCTCTTTGGAAGTCTTGGTTTTCCTCTGGTTTCCTGCTCGGCACTACCTTTGTCTCACGTCTACCTGGTTTAGAGTCAGGGGCTGAGGAGGGTGGCAGGAAGGTACCCTTGCTGTCCCCTCCTTTCCGCCCCTGCACACCCTGGCCCTGGTCTCCAGCCCCGAGATGTCCCACATGCACTCTCATGAGAGCTGAGAATCCTGATGCCTGATGACAGCCAAGCCTTCCCTCCCCTTCCCCCTCCTCCAGGGCAGCCCACCCCTCTTTCCATCTGCTCTGTCTTCCGGTGCGCCCGGGCAAGCTGTGACAAAGCAGCAAGGCCACAACCCATTCTTCTCTTTCCCCAGGGGTGACTCACTCTGGAGACCCCTGAAGAAAGGAGAATTAGAAGGGTAATTTACAACCTTAGGGGAACCCTTTTTTTTTTTTTTTTTTTTTGGTAATTTCCCTTTACGAATGCTCAAATTTGACCCCAAGCCAAATAAAGATTTTACATCAAATGCCTGAAATCTTGACGCTCAGGACAGCCAGGTGTCTCAGCTCCCTCACTGCACATGGAACACTTTCTCGGAAAGTTTCTTCTGTCTGGATCAGGAGACAGACCCCCGACAAACACCGTGGTTTGGGGACCTGAAGAATGTTCTCACTCTACCAACACAAATGGCTCTTGAAGCTCCTCCCCATCTGCAATGTGAGAGGCAAATTACATGCTTCACCCTGACCCCAGAGATAAAGGGGAAACTGGCTTGGGACAGGAAGGATCTGGGTATGACACGGAGGCCCCGGCGATCACTCATCTGAGAAGGAAGCTTTAGTACCTAACACGGCACTTCTTTGGGACAGGTCTGAATATGAGCTTAGCCAGTCTAAGGGACCCAGGCAGCAAAGAGTATTCCATCTTTTCCTACCAAGAGGCTGTAGTATTCTCTTCCATCCTTTAACTTCCAAAAAGGAGCAATAGGGTTCAAACGTTGGGCATTTAGGAGAATGTGCTTTCCAACGGGTCTCTTCTTCCTTCCTGGGATGTTCTGAAAAACCTGCTTTCAGTACCTTTTCTGCTTCACAGTTCGAAACTCACCTGGAATTTGGGGTCTCCTCACAGGACCTGAGGTTGTGTTTGCCCCGCCTTCTTGACTCCCACTTGAGTGTCCTAAGGGGACAAAAAACAATACCTCTCAACCAGAGTTTGGAATGCACAACCGTGAGTTCCCCACAGAGCAGCACAGAGGCCCCCTCCACACGTCTGAATCGCTGAGAAGCTATTCAAGGATTAAAGCCACAGATGTTTATAAAATGTTATGTAAAAGATATTCCCCTCAAAAGTTCCATTTGCTTCAGGCTAAGGCTTGAAATGTTAATCTATATCAAGGAACATGAGAATTCTCAGTAGGGGTGTTGTGCAGTGTTGAAGGCTTTGGGCTCAAGAGCTGGGCAGCTCTGGATTCAACTCCTTCATCTGTCTCTTGCTAGCCATGCCATGTGTCCTGGGTCAAGTCACCCTCTCCAAGCCTTGGTCTTTGTCACTCACAAGATGGTGATAGAAACAGAATCCACTTCATCATAATTTTACAGAGGTTAAAGAAGTTCACAATAATGGAAGTCGTGCAGTTTTCTATTTTTAATTTAGGATGTTGCTACTCAAAGTGTGGTCCCTGGACCAGCAACATAGACATCCCTTGGAAGAGTGCTATGCATGCGGAATCTCAGGCCTCCTCCCACACCAACCAAATCAGAATCTTCATTTTAACAAGCTCCCTAGGGAATTCGTGTGTTCCATAAAGTCCAAAGAGAATCTGAAAATGCCATCTAGTATCATAGAAGCCAACATCAACACTAACAAATAAGGGTTTGGGGTGGGCAGTGGCTTTTCCTATGAAAAACCACCCTACTAGAGTTCCTTCTGATATATCACTGAAACACATCTTGATGGAAGAATCAACATTTTGTACTGCTAAAAACAAAATAAGGAAATGAACAAAAAAGACTCAAACCAGAAGGATCCCAAGTCAAAGGCTCCCTAAAATGAGAGTGGCGTCATGCTTTAAAAGGAACTTCTGAGACATCTTGTGAAAAGACTCCCCTAAAGTGAAGCTTCATGGATTTTTAAAAATTCTTTTTCCATTGCTTCAAAACAAAATTTGGAAATGTCTCACTAAAATGAACTTTTTCCCCCTAACTCATGGGAACCTACTGCAGAATCCTGAAGATCACCAAGAGGAGAAAAAAAGCCCTGGGACGTCTGTTTGGCTAATCAATGAATGAAGATGGTGAAAGCTTTCCTTAGAGAGTCAGACTTCAGACTGTGCACACTGAAATCTTGATTACAGCGGTTATCTGGGGGTAGGATGGCTCTTAAGTATGCAATCTGATGTTTCGTTAGAACTCAAAAGAGAGCAAAACAAGTTCTTACCAGACGTTTGGCCATTTCAACATACCCCATCTCATTTTGACAGCAGCCTTTATTTCCCAAGTCTCTAAAGGAGTCCAAGGCACTTTCCCTCCCCGCCTTCCAGTGTCCTTGGTGGTTGGCAGGTTTTCACCTGCACAAGTCATGGGACATTGGCCAACTAAACTGGAGATCTTTGGCCTTGAAAACCACCTAGGCGGTACAGTCACTCTCCCCGGTCTCTTTTCTGACTCACAGCAGCCTTTGATATTTCAAAGAGAGGCCATTAGTGGATCATAATCTCTTTATTTTGATTTTCCAAAAGAAGTGCTCCCAGCAAGGAAAGATCTGGGTGTGTGTACAACAAGATGAAACCTCCTGTTTGAACAATAGACACCTGCAAAGGAGTCGAACAAAAGGGCCCAGCTCCCGCCCACCTGATTCTCACTTCAAGCAAAAGCCCGAGAAGATGGACGGGAGACAGCAGGCCCTGCCTTGGGCCCCAGACATCCACAAGTCCAGCCAGGGTAGGACTGGCCACAGTGACAAATTCCCCAAAGAGAAGGGGCACTTGATATTCCAGTTGGGAAACGAGATCCAATCTGAGACGTGTGCACAGAGATCATTCAATGGCTTCCACTGTAGGAAAGCAGGCCAGGACGAGCTTCTCAAACTTTAATGTGCATTCAAACCACCTGGGGACCCTGGGGGTGGGGTCGGGGAGGGGGGAGTCTGGTTAAAATGCAGATGCTGATTCAGTAGTTCTGGGTTGGCCAGAGATTCTGCATTTCCAACAAGCTCCTAGCTGATGTCTGATGGTTCAAGAACCACCCTTGGAGTAGCTAGGTTCTCTTGGTTTCACAGAGCATGCCTTTTAATAATAACTGCCTCCCACTTCCAAAATACTGATATCCTGTGTTCTTCACAAGAACTCTAGGAGGCAACCGAGGCAGGTGATCTGATCTCCTTCTTACTAATAAGAAAAATGAGTCTGGGAAAGGTGAAGCTCCCCGTCCAAGGTCCCCAGTGAACCTGAGACCTCTGTCTCTATTTCAGAGGCATTGCTAATGAACGCCTACCTCCTAGTGCTCCTATGACATAAAGGGTTATTCTCGAAGCCACCAGGCAAATATTCATCTTCATACTTGCTTTAAATGTATAAACATTTAAACCTGATGGTGACCCTCACTCCAACTTGGGCATTAAAAAGGGAGGACAATAATGTATATGGATTAACTGGTTTGCATGAGGTCACCTGGATTCGTGATGCCCCAGGAGACCACAGTTAAGGCAGAAGCTTTCAGTAGCCCCAGCATTAAAGGTCACTAGCAAATCTGCCTCATGCCAGACTTTTGCTGCCTGGAGTAATGTTTATAGGGGTGTGATCTGAGTCACAACAAACAGGAATCTGTTTACCAATGCATACCTGGCAGGGACTCTGGTCATTATGGAATGCTTTATCCAGACTGTAATTATAAGAAGTGATATGAGACCCCCAGGCCTGAAACCTGGCTCCACTACCAACTCTGCCAAGCTACTTACCCTCTCTGAGTCTAATCTGTACTATGGGGATAAGAATAGTACTTATGTATGTCACAGTGTTTGTAGGGTGACTAAATGAGTAAATATTAGATTCATTCTATGAGCTTGCTGATACTGACTATTCTTGACCTACAGTGATCGTAGTTTCATATGGTCCAACCTACTACAGGTAAAGTATTTGGAACAATGCCTCTGGCACACAGTAAATTCTCAATAAATTCTAGCTAATATAGCACATGCTGGGATTGTGCCAAATGCTTTACATGTGCTCTATCATTTAGTCTTTAAAACAATGCCCTGAGACAATTATTATCATCCCCAGTTTATTAGCGAGGAAATTTTGTCTGAGACACTTTAAGCGTCTTGCTCAGTTCATACGTGGAGCTGGGATCAAACTCAGGCCATTCTTATTCCAAAATCCATGCTCTTAATCATTCTGGCATAATGCAATGTTAAGTTGGGACACTGCTTGAATTCTTCCCAAGCCTTTCAGATACAACACTTTTCTCCAGAGCAGCAGTTTTCCAAGTGTTGTCCCTGTCCCAGCAGTATCAGCATTCGTATCAGGGAACTTATTAGACATGCAAATGCTCGGGTTCCACCTCAGATCTGCTGAATCAGAAACTGTAAGGGTGGAGCCCAGCAGTGTGATTTAATAAGTCTTCCCTGAATGTATGACAAGAAAGTTTGAGAACCACTTCTCTAGAGGCACTGACTCATACTTCATTATGATCGTCAGGTTCAACAATTATGACAGTAAATGACTAAAGCGGTTCCCACTCACCAGCTGATTCAGATCCGTGAGTGGTACGGCCGCCCCAGCCAGAGTCCATGGACGGGTCTTGGTCTCCTATAATAAGTAATCGAGGAAGGTCAGGACTGTGCATTTCCACACTGCCATCTGCATTTCCTTATGTTTGCATTTGCATACAGCCCATCAAAAGTTTATAGACTCTTAAAGGTAACTAAAAAATGATGGCAAAAGTGCCTTGAATGGGTCTGTGATATTAATTACTGCCAGGCTGGGCATGGTGGCTCATGCCTGTAATACCGATACTTTGGGAGGCCAAGGTGGGAGGATCCTTTGAGGGCAGGAGTTTGAGACCAGCCTGTGCAGCATAGTGAGACCTTGTCTCTACAAAAAATAAAAAAATTAGTCAGGTGTATCCTGTAGTCCCAGCTATTCAGGAGGCTGAGGCAAGAGGATGGCTAAAGCCCAGGAGTTTGAGGCTGCAGTGAGCTATGATGCTGTCACTGCATTCTAGCCTGGGCGACAGAGCAAGACCCTATCTTAAAAAAAAAAAAAAAAGAGGAAAAAATTACTGCTCTTCTGCCCTTTGCTTAATCCACTGAGGAGTAGGCTAGAGCTTTACTTAAGGAAATCAGAGCAGTAAGAAGGATGACCATAGGAAGTTTGGTAGAAACTTAGGTTTGGTAGAAATCCAAAACATGTGGCAAGGAACACTTCAAAAAAAATATTATGATGTTTTTGCAGGTCTGAGGTTGAGACTAGACATTGTGTATTTTAAATAAGGACTATATGAATTGGATTATAAGAAATGTGATCCCTGGAAATGGGTATACTCTGTCTTAGGGCATGAGACATTTAAAGAGATTTCTCTGAGGCAGGAAATTGGTCTGCAATAAAAAATTTGGGGATTGAATGACATAAAGATTCAAAGAGAAAAGTTGACTACTTAATTTGAGAAAAAAAGAGTTTGAAAATAAGTGAAAAGAATAATTGGTGAGATGATAGCTAATATGTAAACAATGTGTATCTGTGTATTAGAGTAAGTTTAAAATACCATTTTTCAAAAGTTAAGTCTATTCAACATGAATAGTTAATATAATCCCATCTTCTCAAACTTCCATCACCAGAAGGCTTTAGATTGAGATAAACGCATGAATTGCTACAAATCTAAATCCACAGGTCAAATCTTGAAGCCAGCATATGGAAACTCCCTCCCCTGCCCTTATTTTTCAGGAGTATACTGGAATCTTTCTTTTTTTTTAATCACAGGACAATGGTTTCATACAATGGCTGTAATCATCCATTCTGAAGGAGGCTGTAGGAAGTGTATACAGTGACCTGCTCGCCACCATCTCCTTGATGAGAGAAAGTGCAGGTGGGTGATCTGTACTCACTCGTATAATTGCATTGAGGAGACAGGTTGCTCTGTGCTTTGGGTGACAGTTCAAATAACTGAAAACGACATTTGCTGAAGTGTCACCCCCATGCTCCCACTACCAAGGTCACCATCACCAACCCCATCACCATCATTGCCACCACCACTGCCACCGCCACTGTCACCGCCACCACTGCCACCACAATTCCAAATGCTTTAGTTCTTAACGTGAAGCATCAAGATTACTGAGAAAATGTATTGGCAGAAATGAGACTTATATGAGTGTTTTAGAAGAAAACTGAAGATGAGAATTGGGTCACTTGATCATTTAATCCATAGAGAATCATGAAAAATCCATCCATACCACTGTGGAATAGAGAAGGAATCAGCGTGGGTGAATATCATATCGAGTTTGTATAAAGCATTTTATTTACTAACAACCTGATGATGTGAGCCCTCTAGGATACTATAACTATTAAAATTGTCATTTAAAATTTAAATTCACTAGGTTGCACACCATGCCTTATTTTGCCAAGAGAAACGAGGCAGTGCTCTAAGATTTATTTTTGCAGGTGAATATTGACGGTGGTACTTGGAATGCTTAATAAATGAGAGCAGGACCTTGCTGAATAAAGAACTAGCAAGTGTAAGGGGCTTTGTTTTGCCAATATCACTGAGGTCAGTATTTTCTTAAATTGTTTTCCTTGAAGCCCTGAGGTGAGCAGCCCAGAGGAAAGAAGACAAGTCTGTGGTATTCTGGATTTTCTGTCCCCATCACAATTGTCATCTGTTTTATATATTGGGTTCTTATAAGGTACCTTTGCTTCTTTTTGGTTTTTAATGGGGGAAAGGATCTCTGCTCCAAAAAATAAATACGTAAAGTAGTCACTAATCTCTAAAATGCCTTAGCGACTGCATTAAGAAGCACTTGAAAAACCGGTATTAGGAGGAGAGAATCAGTTTTTAATTTCTTCACCAGAGTGGGCATTTCCCAGTTCCCCTTTCTCAGAGTCAGTTTCCTAATGCAAATGGAGCAACGAAGAAAAGCAGAAGTAGAGAGGATTGCTTATTTGAAGGAAAAAAAGTCTCATTCGGGGTCCATGTCAGACTTAATTGAGTAAGTCATCTTCAGTCATCTCTGCCATGACAATAAGAGAAGTGGACCCTATTCATCAGTAGATGATTACGTCATGAAGTTTTAAGTGTGTATTGGAACTAGAAGAGGTTTATCCACCAACCCATCACCAAAAGTAAAATTGATCAATCCATCACCAGAAATAATTTCAGAGCAAAGATACTAGTATATGAAAATTCTTTGTAAGTTGGATAAAACCTTATCAAAAAGCCAGCATATATTCATTGAATCAAATGAAATTGCTAATATTCAACTATTTTGATCTACAAAATGATCAATTTCATGTGGTCCAACTGGATATATCACAGGATCAAGAACAAGACGAAGCAATTCCACCATAACAACCACCAAGTTGCACACACACACACATACACACACACACACACACACACGATTGGAAAGTACACTGGCAAATGGAAGCATTATTTTATCTAAAATAGGTCCAAGTTTCCTTGCACTAGAATTGATGACTAGGGATGACAGCCATTGCCACATCACAAACTAGTCTAATCACAGCCTATGCAGACAATGCTCCCTGTGGTATGGAAGTATATGTTGTCTCTCTCTATAGAGAAAGCAGACCCGATACCAAACGGCCAAATTACCTGAGAAGGCGTGATCAAGTTTAGAGTTGGAATCTCCAACAACAGTAACTTCAGTAACTCCAAAGGACCCAGTCTTAGCAGGGGTCACAGGGATGAGGGTGCTGCTTTCCTTTGTGTCTGGATAATGAGGTGTATAACCTTCCGGTAAAGTAGTTGAGCCTTCAGAAGGATTTTGACCTCTTCTTCCACCTCTGACATGATTCCTGTCTGTGTGGAGGTGGAATCAATGATAAACCCACATTTATAAGATTGCCACCCACCATGTGCTCATCTTCAGAACATGCCATTGCTGCAAAGGCTTTCCACTTGTTATCCACAAACAAGGAGCAAAGGATGGTGAAGTTTGTCACACTGTTGAACAGAATCAATATTTTGCAATAGACACAAGCTGGGCGTCACTCAACGGAAGAGATTTTGATGATCCTAATACCCAGAAGAGGCATGTGTTGCAACATCTGCCTGGGTTATTAAAGTAAGGCTTATGCCACTACAACTGTGACCTTGAAGTCAATTCAGGTACTAGATAATCTTGAGCTCTTTCTCAGTTGGATCCACCTTTGATGAAGTGGAGGAAACACACCATTGGATTGAAAGGTAAAATTACGCTGCCTGCAACTGGAATAGCAAACGCAAGGTTTCAAAGACCTGAGGCTACTAATTTAATTATTATTTCTTTTGCCAGAAGGGAACTCCTTTTCAGTCACCAGCATCATGGAGTTGAGGTCCAGAGGACAAAGGGCAAAATAACATTAAGGTAATCTTATACCAATTATAAATTATATATAAACAATCCATTATTTTTAAACCAAATCACTTAACTCGACAGCATAAGAAACCCAACCTTTAAGAATTATAGTTTTCACTTAATATACAATATTTTCTAAGAGGTCTATAAGGCAGAAAAGTCAGAGAACCATCACCAGATACACCTTTTGATCAAAAGTAACAGCATAACAGCAGCCAACTGGGATGCACCTCCACCAAAGACACTGCAAAAGCACCCATAATTTATTGATTTTTAGTAATAGCTGGAGGCCACTGGGCTTTATAATCCTTACTGCTTGATGTTGGAGAAGAAGTTGTTGGATGGTCTTTGTCTTCTTCCAAGCCTCCATGTGATGTAGAGAAGCTCTGAGAATGACTCTGCTCTGTTTCAATAAGGGATGAATCCACCATTAATTTGAAGCCATGATATTAATCCTGTTATCTGCTAATGCAGAGGATATAGCCATAGCAGAGTCAGATGGGTAGGTACACAGGAAGATCAAGGTCTGTGCACAACATTCTCCTCTGATTGACAGAAATATGCAGACGAATTCTGTTTTGCCCCTAGTTGGCCCCTAAGACCCTTGTTTCTCAGTATAGTCAACAAAGGTAAAGTGGCAAAGTGAAGACTGAGCTAACACTTTGTGTACCTAGATCATCCTGGCCCAACTGCAGTATTGCTCCCAGTCACTTAGGAAAACCAGAGAACATAGAGACAAGGAAAAAGGAATGTCCGAATTCCAGTATTCCCATCAATAACCAAGAGCATCTAACTGTGGGTCAAGAAGTGTGACTATAGGGAAAATAAGCACCATGATAGCCTACAGTATACCATAACCACACACAAAAAAGAAGCCCATCTAGAATGACCCGCTCGAGGAACTCAGATCAAATTTATACAACGAAATATTTACCTCCCTTCTAAAGACTATTAAATTAACAATACCATTTTACTCTATTATTAAGTTTTTGATCTCATCTGTGGATGGGGATTCTCATCATTGCTCCAAGGAAACGCTTGCCTGGGCAAACACAGGGCCCTCAGTGACATATATCAATCTCAGGTTGAACCATTGCCCATATCTGAAATCACTTTGACTGTCTGAGTTTATTTCTTTTGTGTTCTTCAATGAAAGGGACTGACCTCTGAGTTGCAGGTGCAAGAACTTCATAAAGCACACTCATAAGCCATGTCCACCACCAAATAAATATTATAACCAGGAGAGAGACATTCACCAGATCTCAAACCCGACATTAGAACAAAAGCCAATAATGACATAAAATGGAAATACGGGCCTATTTGCAAATCCTTTGATGCTTAACACTGTGCTATTTATATTGCTGACAGTCAACAAATGCTTGCTCACTTCTTCCTTTGTCTAAAGAGCTCCTATGAAGGACTTTGCCCATTACATGTAGTAAGCAGTAAAACAGGGCCCTCTTAATTCTTGATTTCTTTTATATTCTGTCAAGAATATGAAGTTATGAATGACTCTGGGCTAATCTCTAGGATATCCCTGCACATATAGTAGAAATTAAGTGTACTATAAGTTTAAACATTGCTTCCTACCATTTGTTTAGTGATAGAAAGAGATATTAGCAAATGTTTCTTTTTTTATTTCCAGGACCCTGCCTCCTTTGCCAATTGTCAAAAACATGCCTTGCCACTTCTCCATGGGCGGATGTGATTTCCCTACTCTCTATGATTATCTAGCCCCAAAATGTCTTTTTACAACCATGCAAGGAATCCTACTCCTCTTCTGCCTTGACTAGAGAAAGGATGAGAATTGAAAGGAGATGGTCAGTTAAAATATAGAGGAACCACTGTCCTGGCTGTGGTCAGGTTTCACTGCTAAAACTACTTAGAGAAGGAAAAGTGAGTTGAATGGAGTCCCACATCCTTTTTTGTTTTTTTAAACATAAAGTCATCGAATCTGGGAGGCCCCAAGAATGAAGGCAAAATCAGGTTTAAAGAACCCCACAAGAAATATAGGCAATGAAGACAGATTTACACTCTGGGCTGAGCTGAGCTGCATAACACTAAATACAATATTCACCACCACCAAGCTCTACATCTTGGCCAATGGTAGCAAGAGCTGAAGCAGGAATAAGCAATACAGGTTGTCATCCTTACGCGTTGTCATTGAAAGAGGTCCTGTCCTGTCCAGGTCTTCCACCAAACCTGCGTTTGGATCTGCAGTAGGTTGAGGCATTGTACTATGAATGGAGTCCGTATCTGAAGGAATTAAATCAATGTTATTGCTTGATTTCCTAAGCCACTACCTGAGAGTGGTTTATGGTCTATAGCTGAATTATTTTTATATTCAAACCTGAATAAGAGGAAAGAAAGCACATACTGATTTATGTCTCCAGAATTGGGATACATTATTGTGTCTTCAAAAGAGTATTGCAAGAACTGGATTTCCTTTAAGGGCTGAGTTGTACGAAAGCTACAACTTTTGTTTGTGCTGAGTCTGGAAGGACTCTACGTGAGCACATGATGGGACTCCCAAGCCTTGCAGAGAGACAGAAACATCGCCTTTCTTATACACACCTGCAATCTGACACTGGAGAAAAGAGAAAGATCCCTGGCTCAGACACTACTTTGTCACCTCCCCCTTATAAGTCATAAGGGCTTTCTTTTAATAGCTCTTCCTTCATTTAGTCCTTTTTTGCTTCACAAAAATCATCATCCAATACCACTTAGATGGAGGCCACAGCAAGTACACAGGGGCAAGATATAAGAAGCAGTGGATGTCACTGAATTAGTCTTCTCATGAACATGAGTAGGAAGAGGTCTTTGGAATTTAACAAGTACAATGTTGACTGGTGCTGAAATTTCACTGAAATATTTATAAATGTTATTTTTCATAGTTACCACAGACCTATTCTGCTGAAATAACAAGTCCTGAGTGAAATGGGGCCAAACTATCCACGAACATCATCAGCATTGCTGGCTCTCCAATTCAGCCAAAGCCCATGCACACTACTGCCTCTTGGGAGACTTCATCAGTTCCAGATGACTCCAGGGGGAAGTGTTGGAATGTTGGGCACCTACATCTGCACTGCAGCTTTAACATGCTAAAAGAAAAGAATCAAGATCTTTTCCAGCCTGAGCAACATAGCAAGAACCTGTCTCTACAAAAAATAGAAAAATAAGCCAGGTATGGTGGTGTGCATCTGTAGTTCCAGCTACTCGGGAGGCTGAGGCAAGAGGATCGCTTCAGCCCAGGAGTTTGAGGCTGAAGTGAGCTGTGATGATGCCACTGCTCTCTAGCCTGGGCAACAGGGTGAGACTCTGACTCAATTAAAAAAAAAAAGATCTTTGTAGGACAAAAATGTGGCTGACTCTACTACCCCAAATTTCAAAAAAGAGGAAAAGCCAGCTATCCCAAATCAAAACTCCAAATGGGTATTCTCCCAGAGAAAAGTCCTGCCTGCCTGCCTGATGATGGGTTCTAGACACTTGTGTTCTTCTTCCCTTATATAAGCAGAATCCTTCAACTGGTATCACACCATTCTACAGTTGACGCCAACTGTACTGCCCTTGATACATTCATCAATTTCATGAATCTCTTTCTCTTCATCAATATGGAGTCTTAGTATTGATTCTCACATTCTGGATGTCCTCAGAGCCCCCAGGCGCCTTGTGCATACACATGAGTGCTGGGTCTGCATGTGGCACATCAGTCACTTAACATAATGGCCCTGACCTAGCCACTCAAACACATCTTCCTTTGTACAGACAGATCCACTCACTTTGACATATTCATTCCTCGGCTTTTCTTCATTCATGCTTCTCCTTACATGAGTCTCCTTCCTAGAAAAACTTCCCTCCACTTCCTTTCTCTGACTATCCAGGATTTTTTTTCCCATTTTCCAAAAACCAGATCCAACCCACATTTCTCTGATGCTCTTGGGGGGTGTGGGAGGGTTCTCTGAATTTCTTTAGCATTTATCGTTGGCAACATTCATTTCACATCTATTACTTACTGCCTCACCATTGTTAGGTATATTTTGATGTTAAATGTTTTCTTTTGCCAAACCTCCTGCTAAATTCTTTGCTTTCCGCTCAGGACTTCCTATTCAGATGAACATGCATATCATTTCGACCAAGAAAACTAATTTTTGAAGAAACCCCCAGTCCCTTAGAAAAGTAGATTGGTCTAAAACCAAAGGCATATTTCTACATATTTCTAGAACAATAGTCACTTGGTAGGTTTCAAAAACATAATATATAAAAAGTTCAGAGGCTATTACCCTTCCTTCTTTCTGTTTGATGACCGTGTCCCATTGGATGTGTGATTGGGTCGAGGAAATCAGTCCAGGAGCTGTCCTGTTGGCTCTGTGTTGTCATTCTTTGACTTGGATGGTTGGTGGAGGTTGAGGCTGTTGTGACCATGCAGTTCAAGCAATTGTCAATGTGTTAATGCACACTTGGCCAGGGAGACACTGATTTTTTTAAAAAATATCTTATGCTCTAAACAAGACAACGAAACCATCTTCCTGGTATAGAGGGCAAGGAAGTTGCATAAACGCAGAATGTTTTAGCAGGTTTGGGTTCATTCATGCTCATTTTCTTAGCAATCAGCATGTGAACTGGAGGACAAAAGCACGAACGACTTCTGCAGTGGATAGAGGATGAGTTATAGACATCAAGGGAAGATGAAGGAAAAGTAGTTCTTGACTCATGCCATGCTGCCACAGTCCCAAAGGGTGGAGGTATAAGAACCTGAGCACATGATGTCGTTCTGAGACAACCACATTCCAGCAAAATGCACACGAGGCTGGTAGTGATCTCAGGAAGAAATCAGGTAGCAGCTTCTCACGTGATAAACAAGAAAGTCAATGCCATTCATCTCAAAAGCATGAACGGAATCCATTAGAAGCATTACCTTCTAACAATGGGATTCATAGCATAAATGACATGTAAGAATGCAGCACGTTGCTTCATTCTGAGCCAATGGAGAAGGATAGGTAAGAAAAGATTACAATAGTATCCCCTTAGCAACAACCACACCACACAGCCAGTCACTGAATCCACTGCTCTGCCAGTAATTCATTCAGAAGTTGCCATGCACTGGAAGGACATTATGCATTATATTCTATATTGCAAACGGAAACATGGAAATATTTCTCACTGATGCCAATTGAGAATGTGTGATCCACATTCTTTACAAGGCAGGATGCATTTCAATACTTATGTCACACAGTGAAGAAGATCATGCAAAGAGTTTGGCAAGACTGAAGTCTAATTTCCACAATCCCACAATTCAAGAGTACAGAAGGTACCTCTTTGTAAATATAACAAAAATACATTGTACACTCAAGGAGAAATTACCAAACAGACATGATCAAAAGGCCAAATGACATCAGATAGGTGTCATTTTTCTCCTAATGTCTGGCTCCATTTCTTTAAACACTGGGGTTTAAATGCTTTCTTCCAAGCCAGTGTTTCATGGAACCATATTGTAAAGTCTGGACCCACATTACAGAGTAGATTCTTTGACAAACCAAAAGGGGTATTTTAGAAGATCCAGGTCTCTGCTCCAGCCTCACTAGGGAATGCCCAGAACCATATCTGAAAGTGACATACGCAAGGGCACAGTCCCTTGTGTCCTTTATGTGCTTGTCTCCGTCCTCGTTCAGGTGATTTGTTACGAGCATGTGAGGTTTGGCTCAGTGTTAACTGCAACATAATTTATTAAGGAACCTAATGTCTTGTGACAGTTCCTTCAGTGTCCTTTTGTTAGTGTCCTCCATGCCCAACATTTAACCCAAAAGGAAGTTCCCACCCAAGTTTGTTTGTTAAGCCATCCATTACCAGCTGTCCCTGCTGCTGAATGAGAGTCTTCTTTTGGCGTTTGGGGATACTCCCCATGCCATCCGTTGCCAAACCACTGTTCTTTCTGGGTGGCCGTTTCTTCAGTTGTACTACTAGGAGTTGCCTGGACTGTGAGAAGAAGGTCAGTTGTGAGCCATAATTGTCTAAGTTCCTCACCAATAGCTGTTACATATCTTCCTACTTTAAGGGTATATACACATGGAGAGACAAGGTAGAGAAAGAAAGCGGCAAGGAGACAGGCCACTGATAATCGGAAATGGATATTAGAAATTAAATGGACCAATCCTTTAATTTTTCATATGGGAAAACAGAGGCCCAAAGAGCATTTGATTTGCCTAAAATCATATAGTCAAATTGGTATAAAGCTAGGACTAGATCACAGCCTATGAATTCTCAGTATTATTCTCATTTTACTGTAGCCTATAGCTTCACGTATCCTGTCTGAGAGAGCTATTTGGTCAAGGAATAACCCCTTTGCTCCAGTCATTTTGGGGAAGGAATATATTGTATAATGACCAATGACAAGATTAGCATAGTAGGAGGCCTTCTTAAACAGTGCTAACGTAACCCATAATCACACACACTGGCAATGCACCAGCAGTGGATGTGGCCAGCATGAAGACGTTGGGATGGCTGGGATGCTACTCCACTGACACATCATGTGGCTATGTCCTCTTGGCATCTAAAATTGCTAAAATCCAAAAACCTGCCTAACAGGTGCAATGAGCACGATTCGGGCAATGGGCACACTCACAGTTCTGACTCAAGCATTCTAAGAGCTATCCATGCAACAAAAACATTTGTGCCCCCTTAATATTTTGAAATAAAATTATAAAAAAATTTAAAAATGCAATTGCTAAAGTCACTTTTTAACAAAATTAATTTAGTGGAAGAAAAGCTATTCTAGCCAATTTGGGGCATTATATAAGCAATAGCAGTATGTGGCAGAGTTAAAATGTCAACTATTGTTTTAAAAAGGACAAAATGAACGGAATAAAATTCCACCAGCGTGCCTTCAGGAAAAGTCAGAAAGCCACTGACATTTTCGTCTATAGCAGCTCATAGTAAATTTTTAGTTCATCAAGAAAATGAGAGCCTACAAACTTGCCAACTTGTAAAATTGATGTATTTCATTATCTTAGAAAATGATACATGTGAATTGATGACAGCAAAGACATTTAAAAAATAAAACTTTTTGTCTTCATTTTACCTTTACATTGGCCAAACTGTTCCTGGGGTTAACTGTTTATCCAGAAGGAGAAAAAAAGGCCAAAATCTTAAGTTTTACCTCCTACTGACTAAACCACTACCTCCTGACAAATAATAAAGTTAGAAAAACCACTTAACGTAGTAATTATTAAAAAAGGAAAATTCGACCCAAACATAGTCTGCCATGTTACTCAAAGTTTACATGAAATAAAGAAGAGTGTGTATATATACAGAGAAGAACTCTATATTCCTTCTATCACTACTTTTATAAAGATAATGACTTTTTAAGTGTCCAGTAACCCCCTATAGTTTTCAGCATAAATAGGAATGGGTTAGCAGAACATAGGATTTCCATTGAGCAAGATGAAGGCTGACTCTCTTCCAGAAGTTGTGATGTTCATTTGATAGAGCCCAGAGGTCACCAATCAGAATCCCTTCAAGTGTTGCGAGTACTGATAAGAGAATTGCCGCCTTCTCTTTGTCCAGTCCCATTAAGTCTGATTTTTCAACTACCCACTAGCATCGATGCCCCTCAACTACCACTTTTTGACAACAGGCTCATTAGTTCCAAGCTTCTGAAATAGCTTTCTGCTCTGTAAGAACAAACAGGCTAAATAATCTCTAAGATATACTGTTAGGACCCAAAGGGAACTGGTACAGGATCATATTCCAAAGAGATTTCTGCTTCCTCTCTATTTCCTTTTCTTATTAGAAGACTTCTTTGTTGACTCAAGCCCACAATCCTTACGCATACATCAAATCCACTGGGGCAAGTGGCAGGAGGTAAAGCCTGTTCGATGTGTTCAGTACAGTGCCCAGGACTTAGGAACCCACATCCCAGCCGATGTCTGAAACTTTTCTTTTGTTGTCTGAAGATATCTCTCAAACCATAGATTCCCAAACCCCTTTGGTTTCTAAGGGGCTGCTTTCTCTTTAGGCATTGTCAAGGCTGTGAGAATGATAATTGATCCATTGTTTTAAAGAAGTTTGGATGCAAACTGTTATCCAAAATAAATACTTTGATTCCAAATAAGATAGGCTCCTCTCAGCAGCATAGAGGAAAGAAGAGCGCACATTTCTTACTGGGGGTGGGGAGGAGGTTTATCCTAATAGTCCACTGATGACACTCGAGATTGTTTTAGAAAACCTGATGTTTGTAAAACAGTAGGAATAATAGTAAGAGCATCAAAGCCTCCCCCAAGTTACCTTGGGCTTAAAAATAGAAAAAGAGCAGTTGGAGAATCAAATATAGACTATATAAGCTACGAATTTTCCTCCAGAGAGTACAAGGGATGCCCTTCTATAATACAGTGAGGAACAGAATGTGAAAAAGAAACTGTATTCATTAAAGATCTTCACAGAACATAAGGATCCCAAAGCTTGTTTCACTTGTCAAGATTTCTTTCCAGATTCCACTGCTAGGCACCAAACGAATACACTCTTCACCACACACTTCCATAAATACACACAAATCACCCAAATGGAATCTCTAGGAAGCTGTAACACAAAAATTGGATCTCAGATCTACTTCTCAAACATTTTGGCCTTTGGGCGACCTAACAAATTAGCATTTTTCTTCCAATTTCTAAAAACTGTGTGTAGATTTGGCAGCTTTTCAGGCTCTAGGGATAAAAGAAATTACTACGTGGAAATAGAGGATGTGGCCAGTGTCTAAACAAAGTCTTCCCTGTCTCTGGAATGTCTTCTCTCACTCAGCTAGACCAGAGCTGCTGACCGCCATCCTTCTTACTTGTGCTTGCAGAATGCGGTGTCTCCTCTTCATCGTGGTGCTCACGGTGAACGAGAGGAGGGTGTGGTTCCTGGGTCCAGTTTTCTCCATGAGCATTGGTGCCACTCCTGTCTACATCTGCTGTGATGACGGTTAAATACACTGTGACTTGTTATCAAACGACTTTTAATGACTCTGTTCTTCCATTAAAGTACCTGCTATTTAACAGCTCTATGCCTAACTAGTACCTCTAAGCATCTACTTTCAATAATTTTGAGTGACTTCACTAATCTCTCCCAAGAGAAAATCAATGGGCATGGAATTTCTTCACGATTATTTGTTATTCCACTATAATCATTTTGTCAAGAGCAGCACCATAAAGCATTCGAATGTATTCATTTTTATAACGAAGCAACATAATACCCTATGCACAGATGGTATGATTGATAAACGACTCCTCAACAGAATTGAGTACCCTCATGAAAGTTCTCTAAGAATTTGTTGATGGGAGTTAACTAAATTTCCCACTGTGTCCCCATGATTGACCTTTGCAGTATCATAGGCTTTGAAGGGAAAAAATATTTTTTTTGAAGGGAAAAAATATTTAATTAAATATGCATAACCCATTACCAGTCATCCTTGTGGTTGTCTGAAGTAGTACTTCTGGATTTGAATGGCTTGGGTTCCACTGGGTCCAATCCTGGTTCTGTTTTGTGTGGTCAAAAACCCGTGGTGTGGTTGAAACTGTGATAATGATGATTGAAGCAATTAGGAAAATGTTATTTCTTGAGCCTTCACCACTTGTTTTGTGCATTTCTCCCTTCTGCAGTCTACGCAATGAATCATCTATACCAGGTTGTATAGATGGATGCATGCAAATGGAGGGAAAGCAGAGAGTGCCTTCAGCTTAATTCAGCCACTTGGTAAGCATCTCAGTGTCCTTTGCATTCTGTCATATCTTGAGGTTCAGAACATGAGATCTTCCAGAGAAATCAGCCAAAGAAGCTGCAGCAGCATGAAGAACAGCTTTGGAAACACCAGCCCTCCACCGAGGATAACTAAAGACGTCAGAGTTTTTGCCCATCCATGCAGTCTGTAGCATCCCTCCGCACCTGAAAGCCCAAGGACTCTGTATCACTACTGCTACCTGTGGATCCTCAGGCTGGAGCAGCAGATAACTGAAAGTTATGCAATGATGATCACTTTATTCTGTTAGTAATTTTGGTGGAGAAAGAAACACCTGAGCAGCCAGAGCTTTCCTATAAATGATTCCAAGAATGAATAGCTACCTAGACCAGCCAAATGGTTTAGCTATACATTCCTGAATATTTATCAAACACCTATGTATTCCCATCAAATACATGAGCAAGTCATTCATAGCCAATGAAAGAAAAACGAGACACATACATTCGGTAGAAAAAGGCCACAGGTAACCAGCCACCATCATAGAAGCACCAGTGCCCTGATATTGTCACCAATATGTTGGGGCTAGAATGGGAGATACACCAAAGAGAAGGATCACGATAAAATCAGAATCAATGTCTTTAGTGAAAATATTATTTGCAAATCCATCCTAATTCTTTCAAACTTTATTTCGATACCCAAATAATACAAAATTCTTTCTAGAACTGTAACACTGTCAGCTCTATTTCACAAGTTATAAAAATCACATTTAAAACCATTAACCACATTCTCAGTAAGCATGTAAAAGTGGCAGTTATCATGCCCCTCAGAAGAAAGAGAGCATCCTGTTGAATTATATGCACAGGTGCTAAGAGAGAAGTAAACAAATAGGAAAATATGCCATGGAGATTAAAAAAATACCGTAGGAAGTTCTTCCCTGTAACCGGACTATACAACTTACTTGCAGAGGTTGATCTGTTTGGGTTGCCGCCCAAGGAAATTTAATTTCTGAAGTATTAAGACAGCATCTTTAGTAATGAACCACCTGCAGAGCTGGGCCACACAATAGTAAAACTCTAGTGTTTTTGGTTATTTGTTTTTTTCCTGAAGTTACTAAAAAGAGTTTCCTTTTTTTCCATAGACTAAGCTCTGCAGAGGTATCAGGTCTAAAAAATACAGCACTTAAAGATTTGTGTATAAAAAATCTAGTTCATCTCTATTATTTGTTGTGTCAATGCCATATACTCAGATGCCTTCAAGGCCTAAGCTTGTTTTTTTTGAGGGGGGGGCTCCTCCCTCCCTGGGTACTATCCATTTGAGGATGAAACTCTCAGGTTTTAATAGGATGGACAGAACTTCAGTGACCTGCGTTGATGGAGTCAGGTTCAGGGCTCTCAGCTCTGTTCAGCAAAATCTTAGGCCATTACAGCTATGTGAAGAAAACTCAGTCATCTGGCAGAATATTAGACAAATCTTTGCATGTTTTTTAATTTTTTAAGGACATTTTCAGCTCAATTTCCATCTCGTTCTCAAAAAGTTTTATAATTGTCACAAATATGGGTACTATTATGCACTAATAGCGGTTTCACTATTTGCTTTTAATAATTGGCACTGTCTTGTTCAAGTTAAAGCTGAGCTCACATTTGCCTTTCCCTTCAGTGTCCTTCTGTTATATTGGTGTCCAGCTCATTTGTTAAGACTCTGGATTTGTTCTTTTGACCTCGACCAGGTTTTGATGACCTAAGACAATTCTTGAGTTCTAGTGTCCATCTTTTAGGCCTTTCTAGGGCCTTCAATTTAGGATCTTCTACAACTTTTAATTAATACCCTCTAATCACATTCTTCAAGTCTATCATTCTAACAGACCATGAGTTCCTTGAAAGCAAAGTTTCTTCCTTTTTTCCTTTGTGTTCCCTGCATTTAGCACAGTAAGAACACAATGAATATTTGTCATAATGACTTAATATGTCCCTCCTCTGATAAAACTTGATAATTCAAAGAAAATCTGCAGCAGAAGACCTCAAAGATAAAACAGGAAGAACATGAGGCATTAGAAATTTTATAAGAGATATTTTTCCCATTTCTTTTCTAAATATATTGTGGCTTCCATTAAAATATTCTATTTCTTCTTTCACAATCTCATTAAGGCATAACTAAGGTATGATCACAGGTTCACTCATTTTTCACATTAACTATTTCCCAAGAGAGATACTATTTGGTATCACTCAGGTTAATCAGTAAGCCTTGCAAAAATGGTTCTACTTTAATTGATTATTCTTACTGGTACTGGAGATAAAATCTTCATCATCATCAATGCCTGATCCAGAAAAACTGACGTGTTTGTCTCTTTCATCTTCATTTTCTTCATTTGGCTCCCAGCCTGCTGAGATGGTATTTGAATCCGTACCTGTTGTGGTGACTTGCATTAGTGGTTGAGCTGAATGCCAGGCAACCCACTTGCAAAGGAAGGAAATCAGGCACAGAAGGTATAATGGGTTTCCCAAGATTTTAAAAGGAAAGTGAGAAAGTTGCCTTATATACCCCAAATTCTTATGTCCTGGCTCTGAAGTTAATATACAGATCTCAAAACAATTGGCTATGATCTTTACAACGGAACATTCTCTTTAAGGAATTTAAAAGAGTAAATACAGACATAACCCCACCAAAGAATTTTTTAAAAGCCAGTGAAAACTCCCTCATGCTTTCAGATGCATTTATTAACTCATTAAGCATGTATCATTAAAGCTAGGACATCAAGAATAGATTGGAAAAATTTCATGTGTCTATTTTCTTTGTCAAGACACCTTCAGAAAAACCTTGGAATGTAAACCCATTTCAGTCATTTCTAAAATCCCACAGTTGTGTTCACAATTTGCTGATTCATTTTTTATCTTCTCTAGCATGAGATCATTGTAACTCTACATGCAAATGGAAGCTATACTGCAGTTCCCAACAATACCTTAGCACAGAGCAAAAAAAGTTAAGTCAATTAGCAGAGAAATAATTCCTGGCATTTATTAACTAATCAAAAGGTTAACTAATATGACTGTAGTTGAGGTGTTGAGAAATTCTCACTTTTTTCTCTTCGATGCAATCATAAAAAAGAAGATGGAAACCTACCACTTCTCAGTGGTTATTCTAGAAGATGTCCCTTTACTAATAAAAAAGAGGTTTTCTGCATTTTTAATGAGATTCAGGCTATCTTAGGGAATGACCATTTGTCTTTTCATACTATTAATGTCTACCCCCAAAATAGTTCCACTGATGAAGATTTTTCTACATTTTGTCAGATCTAGCTATGCTATTTTATTTTTTCATGAAAGTCAAAAACTTTTTGTGACTTTGGTAATTTTAGGATGTATGTGAGTAATCTTTCAGAGTCACAATTTTGTTCTGTCATCAAAAAAGACCTGACCTCTCTTCACAGTCTCTATATTAGCCTCTTTCTGGGATATAATAATCCTATAGAGTAGAAAGAAGAAATCTGCTCATTAATAAGCACTGTAAAAGCAAACATATGGATCCCAGAGCTCATGAGAACTCTTAAGTCATTGTGAATATCTGTGAGAACAGAATTGACTTTAGGCTTTAACAACATCGTTAACATTATTAACGATTATCAAGGAAACAGATGATATGAGATCATCATAACTCATTACCAGCCGTTTGTGGTGTTGTGTGAAGATGATTCTTGGACTCTGATGGTTGAAACCACCATGGAAACCAGTCCTGGGCTTCTTGCCTCTTGGTTGCTGTTTCGGGAGTTGTAGCACTAGAGCTCATCAAAGCTGTTGTAACCATGATTGAATTGATTGTTGAGAGATTAATTAATTGTAAATTCCTAAGAAATAGCACTGTATATGTTTGCCCTCTTTTATCTCTCAAGAGAGTCATCTATATTTAATATAGATGATGGAAAGAAAGAGAAAAAGCAAAGAAATTCCATTTCTTTCAGAGGCCCAAACTGGACTTCATAGAATGTCAGAGATGGAAGGACCTTAAATATCATCTGGTTCATGCTCCTCATCTTAAAGATGAAACATTTGTGCTAGACAGAGCTTCTGACCTGTCTGAAGGCTAATTATCAACAGAGAGGTCTCAAGGAGGGCATGAAAGCTGTTTCTGAAATTTGAAAGTCTATAATGTAAAAGAGAGATTAAATTTTTGTCTCTGGATTCATGAGGCTGAACTAGGATCTGTGGTGAGAATTTCAGGGTGATGGATGTTCTTCCAAATATTGGATTTAAAAAAGCAATAGCCTGAACTATGCAACAATGAACTTCTTCATATAGTATTATTAATATATTCCCCATCGTCAGAAAGATCACTTGGCAGGAAAGTTGTGTACGAGATTAAATGATTAGAAGTGTTGACTGAACCAGACCATTTAACATCCTTTCCAAATCTGAGAATTTATGATTCTAAAATCCTCCTCTTCAGAGTCCTATCTCCTTAATCTTCTCCACAATCTATCTTGGGCAACCAATATCATTCTCCAAGAATTTGGGATATGATATTTCTGCCAGCAATCACAGATACTTAATCCCACCTATCCAAAACACAGGGAAGAATGGCATAGAAGTAGAAGATTGAAAAAGATACCTTTCCACTTTTCTCCATTTAGAGTCCAAAACCTCTAGCAACCTTGCCCAAGGTCATCTCTCATATAAACACTATATTTTGCAAAGCAGTACAGACATTTTGAGTCCCATTTTTTGAAAATGGGATAATCAAACCAGAAAGACAGAGATGAAGTGACCCAATGACCCCATTAATAAGACCAGAAGCAAGAGTCTTTGATTCAAAAACATCCAAAGACTGCCATTTCTGCAACCATAATGTGTGCATCAGAGAATATTAGATAATAGTAGACAAAAAACTGAGAATAAGTTCAAGCAGAGAGGCTGAAACCATCATTAAATCCCCAAACACAAAAAGTAAGGTGAGTTATATTTCTTTTTCCAACTATCAAGAAAGCCCAGAAATGACCCGAGATGAAAGACTGCCAAGAAAACCTTTTCCTTTACATTATTTGTCCTACAAAGATAAACATTGTAAACACTGCAAAATAGCATTTTCGTTATTCTGCAATCTCTCCCTCCCGCTCCCCATCCCAGCATGATCTTGATCACTGTGACATGAAAAGCAAAACATAACATCAGCACTGTTTTCCTTATTTGATTGTTTATAGAAATAAAGGATATAATCTACCCAATGTCTTCTAAGCTAAACAAATATAAAGAACCAATTGTCCATTTTATTACTCCCCTTTGCAGAAAGAATGCCTAGTTATTTGGAAATACATTTATTACCTCCACCAATGAAAGTTAATAAATGAAGATATGACTGTAATCTCCCATTGTTATAGATTTTGAATCTTTTTCCCCAAAGCTCCCATATCAAAACACTTTGCAGGGATTTAAAGCTAATAGCCAAACATCCAAGGAGCTTATTAGAGGCCTAGATTCTACTGTAGAGCAACAGGTCATTTCCTAATTTTACACTTGAGGTTTTAAGTGTGCAAAGAAGTGCTCAGGGACTACACTTTAATAATAGAAGGAAGCCAGCATTTCCTTCAATTATTATTGACTGTGATAATTAGATTGGCAGAAAGTAGGAGCATGCATTTTCTGGTAGGCTTCTTTCTAGAGGACGTTTTCTGAATGAATCACATAGTCAATTCATTCATAGTTTTTCATAGTTTCATTCATTCATTCAAAACATTCATTCAGATTTTCCTTCTTTTGAAGGAAAAAGAATTCTGGTTTTATGTACACATTGCCAAAGGAAAACAAATAGGGCATTTGGGAGTATTCAGTCATATCCACAGATCCACAAGGCTCTTTGATAAATGAAATGGTGTCAGACCCTACCCTCACTGAAGATGGTGAAGCAGCATCGGTAGGGAACTTTGGCATGATAAGGGATATCCTTTTTCATTAACGCTAAAGACCTGGCATTCAGGACAGCTGGTAAGCAAAAGATTTAACCGTTTACCTGTTGTTGCTGTTGTTGTGAGATCCTGAGTCTTAGGCTGGAAATTACCAAACCAGGACCACATCCAATTACTTTGCTCCTGAGCTGCTGTGTGGCTGTTTGAGTGCACAGCTGAGGTAACTGGATCAATTATGAAAATACCATTTAGTGAGGTTCCCTCTAAAAAACCTTTACTTTCAGTTGTGTCTATATATGATGTCTGTATCTATTATTGAATGAAAATTAGAAAAGAAAATCTGGGCCTGGTTTCATTTTTCCAGCCTTCTAAAGTCTCCCAGAATGTTAGAACAACATCAGAAAGGCAAATTCTGTGTGGATATCAATTCAATGCTACTCATTCTTCAAACTGAACCTCCCCCCGCCCCCAGCATTCATGATTTCAGCAAAATCAAGCAGCAGTTTAATAACCTGTAATGAAAAGAGATTTTCTGTTACTTGATTGGGTTGGATTTATAGCCGTAAACTGGAGGTCTTCAAAGCAACATTTCAAAGGTTGCTTTCATTCATTTATCTCTGGGGTTGCTTGCCTGTATCTTTCACATCTGTCTAGCATTGTACCCAGGAAGCTTGTGATGACAACTGGCATTTCAAAGCTCCACTCACATTCATCAACAAGTTAAACTTTATACTTGAGCATGCACTTTGCAAAGGGTGTGTGTTCAAAGTGTTGAAATTAGATAAGGCTTTCTCAAGTATCCATCGATCACTTCTGCCACTCTGGACTCTAATTCAGTATATGTTTTTGGAAAAAAAACCCAAAACTGCCAAAGTTAGAGAAATTCTGGATTCTTCTCAAATTAGAGAAAGGATAATCAGCAACATCTTGCAATTGGAAATCTCTCATTGGACTCTCAAGTTTGACTTGAGTCCAGAATGTTCTCCTACTGAAGCAGAATGGCAAAAATCATCGAGATAAATATCTAAGCCAATTAAGATTTTTAAAAAACCATCTTAAGTCATCTATTCCCTTGAAAATCTGATGTAAGTTATGACTTCTCTCCTCAAAAAAAGTGACCCTATATATGCATACTCTCAAAATTTTGCATATTACTCAGGTGGTTCTTGAATATCATATAGCCTATTATTGAATCTACTGAAAGTCTATAAACCCTGGGTTAAAAACTTCAACTCTATGTATACCAAATGCCACTGACTGGCACGATATGTTCTGTGCTATGAAGAACACGTTAGATCAGAACACAGAGTTGAGCGACAGGAGCGAAGTTCACCCATGATGCTCCCAGATAAACCTGAGCAGCCCCTGGAAGATCCAGACCACCCCTCCATTCTCATTCCAGAAACTTCATTAGAGAAGCAAACTTCCCACCACCCTCACCCCAGAGTATACGAGGAAAAAACAGTACAAGAGGAAATAAACCCACATGACAAGATAGACACAGGTGTTATTTCTGTCTTCCTGAAAGAAGTTGTATGAGTTGGCAAAAATGGAGACAGCTACTGCTCAGCCAACAGAGTTTCCAAGTTTCCCCACTCAAGTAGGCCATGCCAGACCAAAAAAAAAACATTTCTTTGACACCCAGAAGATAAGGAAATAGAGTGTTCCAAGGCAGGAGTCTGCTTCCTGAATTAGTTTAGGTTTCTTGATTCCAGAGAGTTGCAGATCACCGATAGGAAGAGGCCGATGACACGCCTCCAGGAGGGCTCTTCCAAAAATAACACTTATAATAAACAGCTGGAAGTCCAACACTACCCAGATGGTTGTTCTTATTAGCCTTCCCTGTTGCCACCCACTAAGGACCCTTAAGGAAGGAATGAACCAGCTAAGCCAAAGGCAGCTTCTTCTGTGCACTCAGCCAGCCCCTTCTTGACCTCCGCATTTTTGCAATCACTCACTCTCACTCCCTCTCACCCTGTCCCAGCTCTCAGTCCAACAGTGATAAGGTTTTGGGAATCTCCTCACTGTACTCTGAAAACACGATTCTATTTAGGAACTTATCAGCTCTAACGTTTCCTGGTATGCCATGTACTACATTCCAATTTCCACCCGGTTGGTTTCTTTGATGCCCTTCTTTGCACGAATTGATCTTCTTGGAGTTGCCATTGGCCTTCATGGATCCTACAGTACTTCAGTGACTCTCAAGTTAGCCCTGGACTCATCTGGTAGACAACTTAGTCTCTCTCTTCTTTAACTGCTGAAAGAAACTCGGCTAACTGTTCTGGAAGAAGGAAAGCACAATTCTTTTCTCAACCCAAATCCTGAACTGTATTTTATTAATAGTTAAGTCTCACAGCTCTTCTTTTCCTTGATTTCTGAACTAGTACGTTGTCTCCATGAAGGTAGGTCCAACTCTGAGTTCCCAATAACTACAGCAGTATCTGGCCCAGAGGAGAACTCAAATATTGGCTGAAGGAGTAAATATCCCACAAATCCTTCCCTTTTTTCAGTATTACTTTCTAAGTGTTTGCCACCGGATCCCAAGCATTCTAATAGGCCTGATACATGGTAGGTCCTCAAAATAAATTTATCAACTAACTAACTTAGGCAGGAAAGATGCAATCCTTAAGAGATGTGCTATGGATGCTAATAAAATGTGCTAATTGCCTTTTCTAAAACGCATATGAAATACTGCTTTATATAGGCTATTAGTGGCTTGGATGTTAACTTAATCTAGTCCTCACAAGTTATGTTTTGTCAAGATTTTCTTCTTTGGTGGGAAGTGGTACTTTAGGGCAGACCTGTTCTGCTTCCTGCTGAGACCACTAATTATCATGTTTGCCAACATTTGGCAAAATTGCATGCCCTAATGATAAACACCTCCAACATAGTTACTTGTAAAAGGCCAGAAACTCAAGAGGCAGCAAGAGTTGCTCACAGAACTGCAAACAACAAGATGATATCATCTCCAGAGAGCCAATAACCCAGGAAAGCATGCGCAGTTTGAAAATACTTGCTTTTCAAAATGCTGCAAAGAATCTGCAGGGAATCATGGGAACCCCAAGCCTATTTCATATCACCCCCTCTCCTAAGCCAATTACTAACAGAAATTTAAAACATTGTTGAGCAAGTAACGTTAAATTAAATCAGAGTGCTATGGACGTTTCCCTGGCTTCTGGGTGACAAGAAATAGGAAGGGGCCCGACTTGCATATTCACAAGCCAGTACATTTCAGCCACTGCATGGAGGCCAGAGTTCCACCCCTCCAGAGCTGTAGCCAGGAAGAGAGAAAATCCACACCATACTAGGAAAACTGCTTGAGATTGCAGATGCCCTTTTTGAGTTGGACTAATCCTTCACAGAAGGAACACAGCCAATCTGGAAACCTGTTTTAAAACAAACCACAGGGGAAAAGCAAAGAGGGAAGCAAAGGAGACAAGAGGGAGATGTAAACACTGCCCAATGAACTGAAGCACAAGGCACAAAAACCCAAAGAAACATAATGCCGCATTTGCTCAGTTCCACTCTTGCAGCCCCAGTGACGAATCACCCACACACACCAAGTAAGCATTCAGAACTCGCACCAGTAGGCTGGGATATAGAACTCTTGAGCTGATTCAATTTGATTATGAAACTCCTCCAGATACGCTTCCTTGGGCAAAAAAACAAAGGAATTATTTAGTAAGTCATGGTGGATGAATGTGACTGACTATTACACAATCAATAACACGAGTATAAATCAGGTTAAAACATAAAAACACAAAGTTAGGTGAAAAAAGGTGCCAACGGAATGGTATGCATACTCTGTGATCCCAACTTCATGAAAAGAATCTTATCCATAGGTGGACAAGAACAAGAAGGAAAGATGCAAAAATAAAGATAGTTTTTGCATCAGGCTTGAATTGTCATCATATGCCCAGGGACAAGAGAATAGGGGGAGCTCTTCTAAAAAACTTCCAATATGGCACTTCTTATCCCAAGGTAAGAAAGATAGAGTTATAGATGGAAAAAAAAATGCAGGCAATGTGTGCAGAGCACTGACAACCACAACAGCCCACCTCCCCCAATGTCACCTACATCTAGATGTCCAGAGACAGGAGAAAATCAACACATGAGTGAGTAACACTCAAGAAGATCAGAGATATTTTGCCAAGAAATTGCTATTGGAAAGCACAACGATTCATTCTCCTTACTGGTAGCAGCGGTACTCTCTGTGTTGTCAAAGATTGAGGAACCATCTTGGTCTGGGGTCGGGTATGCAGTTGGAAGGTGGGTGTGGAAGATGCTGTAACCTCCTGATGTGCTCCTTTCACCAGGGGATCCACTGCTCATATCGTCCTCAGCAGGGTTGCTGGGGTTGATGTCCTCAGGGTTTGTTCTGTATTCCCCCTTCTTGGTGTAGCGAGTGCCATCACGGTTAACAATAGCTGGGAGAGAGAGAAGGTACCTTCAGAACTTCATGGCTCATATTTTGAGTATAGGAGAGATGGTGGATTATCATATAACATAGTGACTTCAAAGCTATTTTCTTTTATACTAAGAAAAACAACACCTAGTGGTGGGAGAGAGTGGCTGATGCCCTAAGAAAGTTCCCCATCCCCTGGAAAGGGGGAGGGAAAAGAGAAAGTTCTGGGGAGTCCTCACGTTTGAATCCCACTTCATATAGCCCTAGACAAGGTCAGAGCTTCAGGTTCCTCATTCATAAAATGGGAACAATATAGTACTACTTTCTGGATGGGGCCGTTATGAACATTATGAGATACATTTAAGTAAATTGCTCAACACAGCATTCAAAATCGAGTGGATGTTCAGTGAATGAGCTAGACGTTAAGAACGTTATTTAATTTTTCTTGCATTTAAATTTATTATTGAGGTTGCCTTCTCTTTATGACAAGTGATGTTGGTGTTTCCCATGTGTGGTTTCTTTTTATAAATAAATGTATTTTAGGTAGAAAACAATGGGTCAATTAAATGGAAAATATCAAGCTGTGTACATGGATATGTCAAAAAAAGGTGAAAGTGGTTTTCAAATGACTGAAGTTTGAGGAACATTAGAGTAAACCAGGGAGCAGTTTTAAGCCATTGCAGAAAAAGGGGCAGGGACACTGAATCACAGCCAGCCACCCCCAGCCTTAGGGAAATGACTCATATTCTGTTCAAATAGAAACCATAGAGAACACACCTGATCCTTTTCCCAAGAATGAGAAAACTCAATCAAGATTAGAAGAGATACATACTTATGCTAATTGGTCCATCAAAGGCATTGGGCAGGTCCGTGACTGACGTACAATCTTCTTCTCCCTCCGGAGCTATGGGGTTGAAAAAACAAAACCATGAGACCTCTTAAAAAATATGAGCAAAATCCATCTCCATTTCTATTAGTCAGTTAGGATGGAGTTTTATTATAACTTATACCAAACAATTTTTTTTTCTGAAACTCGGTAAGTCTACGAGGAATGTCTCTGACCTTCATGACACATTTTCCATTTTTATGTAATTTCATACATTCCTGGAAACTAACTTACCCTCCCCCAACTCCAGAAAATTCATTCATTAACAAATATACATGTTCTATGTCACGCACTGTGGAAGCCTAGGGGTGCCACTGTGAATGAGACAGACATTGCTCCTTCTCTAATGCAGCATACGTTAGAGAGGATTTTTTAAAATTTACTAATATAAAAGTAATGTGGGAACATCGTAAAAAAATTTTAAAAATAAAGAAATGTATGAACTACCATGAGAAAATCATTTATAATTTCAGAAACCCACAGAAATGATGGGAAAATATGACAGACACACATGATCAAAGATCAAATGTTCATCAACATGAACAGCATAACATCACCAACAAAGAATTTACTTGATCAAAATATTTAAAAAACAAATAAATCTCTAGTCTTCCATTGACATAGTAATTGATTTATTAATTTAGCTGATCTTTCTAAGTGCCTACTCTGTATAGACTACTTCTTGACATGTGGCTTCCGAAGCTGGCTACCTTTGGTCTAAGACCCCAGATTTCCCGAGACTGCTATTTTGGCATATCTCATCACAGGCACCTCTGACTTCCTTTTCATTTGTTTTGCATTTATTTTCTACTCCTTTACCCCTTTATTCAGGAAAAAAGATTTCCACATGTACTTTGGGCCTGCCCGATCGCCCATAAATGTTACTGGTAGCCCTCTGGACAACACTGTGTTCAGCCCTCTGAAACAGGCCCTGAAAATTCCACTATGCATGCTATCCCTTGGGTCTTAAACGCAGACAGCATAGTAACTTAACCAACCATTCCATTCATGCCAAAATGCTCCATCCTGTGACTAGAACTTGTGTTGAGCTCCAAAAACTCAGAGAGCTTTAAACTGGTTTTGCTGTGATGGGAAGGCTGGATCTATTTGTGCATTACAGCTTTTATGCCGTGTGTTTGCGTGTGCGTGTGTGTGTGTGTGTGTGCGTGTGTGTATAAACGCTTAAATGTAAAATGGCAATTTATTTGTTAGGTTGGTTTCTCCCAGGGTTGCTTTTGGCAAAGAGAAAGGAAGAAAGAAATGGATGGATGGATGGATAGAGAGATGGACAGAGATAGGTAGGCAGGCCAGCAGACTGCTATCACAAGGAGCGCTGTTATCACAAGTATTTTATGTGACGTGCCATAAATTGTTGGGTTCTCATAACAATGGACAAAAATACAAGTTGAACAAACAGGTTTTGTTTGATTCCTTGTACCTGGGAGCATCTTTTCCCAGCAAGGACACCTAAGATGTTAACCGCCAAAATGGTATGCAAATATATGTAAATCAAGAAGCATTTAGATGAACCCTGATTGGTAATGGCATAAGAAATAATTAAAGGAAGTTACAGATATAACTGTTCATTTATTCTAAGCATCTACTCGGTACTTATACACCAGACCATAAAAGAAAAAAGGAGAAAAAAGATGAACATGATTCTGTCCCTGTTTCTAAAGAATTCACAAGATCACGGCAGCCGTGGGAGGTGGGGGAGCGGAGGGAGTGGGGAGGAATAATAGTTAATATTTCTTTAGCTTTTTACAGTTTTCAAAAAATTTTTCGGAAATTCTCTCACTTGAAAATAAAGGCATATGGCCAACCTGGGAGATTTGGGGGAGTAATCTACCTGTGTGTCTTACAAATGCCACCAGAGATCAGCCTAACCTTTGAGACACTTCTGATGTTCATACGTTGCACATACCCAGAAACAGGCCTTGGGTTATGGCTTCGTGATGCCAGGGATGGAACAACCTCCCCCAAATTCAAACACAACTGCAGATAACAGTGCACTGGGAATTTCCAGGAAGTTAGTTGTAACAGAATGGGGCATGATGTCAAAAACACTAAGATAGTTTTGTAAATGATTAGAGCATTTATTCAAATGGACCCCCTTCATGCTCCAATTCACCTTAACTTTTACAAGAACATCAGATCTGGCAAGTACAGTAAGATGGATGGTGACCCAAATGTGCAACTAATATACTCATACTCCCATGAGTGATCCCAGGGCCTCATTAGACAGCCTTTCATTCTGTTTAATGAGCACTGTGCTGCTTCGAAAGTTAGACCTGGTGATGTGTCCATGAACCAAAGGATTTTTTAGAAACTCTCTAAGGTGGGAATTCTCAGAAACCTTGGCTCCAATTCACCAAAATAATCAAGAGAAACATTAATTATTCAGTCTAACCACTAATCGCTGGGTGCCAGATAGAAAGGTACCTTCCTTAAAGCTTGATACATTCTAGGTGTCCCATAAATATTTTCAAATAGTCGTTGAACGAGTGAATGAATAAACAAATGAATGTAAAATCTTCCCTGTAATTCTGCCTTCAAAAGAAAATGAGGTGTGTTACCAAAAGCAAGCTAAATAAATGAAAAAATTCAAGTCAGTTCTCTGTGTTGTTCATACAGAAGTCACCAGGCTCACGTTGGGCCTTAACTACTGAGTGATGAGACCTTTTCTGCCTTATTTTCATTTGTAAGCCACAGGCCATGTTTTCCAAAAACTACTGCTAAAAATTTTAAGTTTATGGAAGCTATATGCTAAGATTGAGCTGGCTTTGGTCCCTGTAGACAGTTTATGGGGGGATCACAGTTCCTTGAACACAACTACCTGCTGGTAGTTCTCAGGCTTTGTTAGATTCAAGGATCTTTCCAGAGAGATCCTTTGCATGGAGCAGAAGGTTATCAAGATCTTTAGCTCACTCAACACCCCTATCATCTGACTCCAAGCTAAGACATTTAGAATCTATTTATCCTTAGACACATTTATCCTCTTCTCTAGTTTCTTTATTCTTTGTCTCACTGCTTCAACAAGACTTTTAATTTAAGAAATTAAAGAAGAAATATAGCTTTTGGTTCTTTCATACCCCCACTTTGCCTAGCACAGTATTGAGCTCATAGAATTGATCAATAAATATTCTCTTTAAACTTAAAGAAAAACTTATAAAAGCAGCCTGTCAGCATGGAGTCAATTTCGAAAACAGAGAAAAGGAAAAACATGACTTCTAGCTGTGCTATTTAATGTGCCCATTTGGGTATGCAATACGTCCCCAGCACTTCTCAAACTATTCAACTGAACTCCAAGGAAAGGAAAGTTAATCAATGCTTCGATTCCCACTCTGGGGATGGGCCCAACCTCATAAGCAAAATTAAGGGCAGGGAGAAAATTCTCAGCAGCAGCCCGACTGCATGGTTTTCACTCCAGGCCATAAAACCACGTGAGCATCTACCCTTTTTGAGTTAAGGTTCTTTCTGGCAAATGCCACCAACTTGTAAAACAGGTGGGACAATGTGGGTATGCAACCACATAATCTGTTGCATACACGTACTCAACAAGATTCAGTGGGAGATGCAACAAGCAGTGCCCAGAGACTCTCAGGAGCACACAGTCTCACACTAGCCCTTTCCCACTTGAATAACCCCTTTGTCTAAAGCACAAGCTCTTCCCAAAGTCTTCCTCTGACCTCTTGCACCAAGATGGAGCTAGCCAGACCACATGTTGCTCTGTGTCGATTTCCTGTTTATTCCTATGTGGTTTTTCTCATTATAACATCATTAGAATGGACATCTGGGGATGGTCTGGGAACTGGGTATGTATGGTCCACGTACTTTTTAGCGTCAGTTGGATTGTTCGCCTTTTGGTCAAACTTTATCTGTGTTCTTCACTCATATGACAGGAAGGAGTAAACATTCTATAGTTTTCTCCTTCTTGTTTCGTGTGTCTCTCCATAGGTTTAGTGACCTGCAAATATTTGCCAAACTTCACTGGCTTCACATACTCCATTTCAACTAGCCAGCCCTGATACTTTCCTCTAAACCCTAGATTTTCTCTCCAAATTTCCTCTCTGATCCCTACTGCTCATGCAACAATGAGTGGGTGGAGTAGCCTAAAGCCACTGATGTAAGCTCACTTTTAATTTGTTCTTTTTTTTTGTATCTATTTTTTCATTGGCAGGTAGAAGTAAGATCTCACAATTAATTTGATGTCCTTTCTTTAGCTTAAAAACCCATGCAGATTTTATATTCTGCTACCACATATATCTGTGTTTGTCTCGTGCAGATAATTTCTTAAGTCACTTTCCAGCTAATTTCACATGCCCTTCCCATCTTTAAGGGAAACTGACACTCCAGGAAGGTGTACCAAGTTTACCTCCAGGTTTCCTCTTTTCCTTCTCACTACTTCATACCTTCAGGGGGAACATAAGGCCCAGTTTAACAAGTAAGACTTTTTGTTGGTACCCCAAAATTCGACAATTGTAGTTTTGATCCTTCTCAAAAGACTCTGAGAAAATTCATAATGTATAGAACTCTTTAATTTTGCTGGGGCTTGAATTTGACTTGTAAGCATGAGTTTCTAGGCTGGTGGTTAGAAGAAAGTCCCACAGACTGGAAAGGAGGCTGGCTAGCAGCCCAGCATCTACATCTGAACTTAGCTTCTTTATTCTCTGGTTGTCCCAACTGTTGGGTAAGGGACATTCAAGAAGGTCAAAGGCCTACTGCATGTCCTCCCAGCCTTTTCTCTGGCCCCCACATATAATAAATACCTCTCAGCTCAGACATTTGGCTTGCACGTCAAAGCTATCATTAGATTCATGTCACTCCCCTATTTAAAACCTGCAATGACTTCCCATCACACTAAGAATGAATCACCCTACGTGCTCTGGCTGCCGCTACCTCTCTGACTTTATTCCTTGGCATTCTCTCCTCTGATCACCAGACTTTAGCCACCTTGGCCTCCCTGATGTTCTTAGAACAGGCCAGAAGGCACTTTCTCTGACCACCATCTCAGAAAAAAAGCACCCTTAGCACTTTCTAGTGTCATATTCTGCTTTCTTTTTTATAGCATTTATATCACTCTCTGACTTCATATAAGGTATTGAATATTTATGTGTTTATTGGCAGCCTCCCCAACTTAGCATGTAAGCTCCGTGGAGACAGGAATCTTGTCTCTGCCGCAGGTATTTAGTGAGTATCTGTTGCATGAATGGAAGCTACGTGAATCCCCACTGAAGGCGAGATCAAAAGGCCACATAGAAACACTCCAAGAACCTACCTGAAGCGTTGTAGCAATACGTGTCATACTGGGAGTTTTCGGAAGTGAGGATGTACACCCCGGTGTTGTTGGCTGCACAGATGGAGTTGGGGTGGATCCGGGGGATCACCACGTGCTCTTCTATAAAACCGTACCTGCAAAAGAAGTTTAAACAAGAGGCTATTGACCGGCAAGGCTGTGACGGGAATTTCATAACAGCCCATCGAATGACATTTAACGCAGTGCCCGGCTTCCTTCTATTCAGCCCCAGGGATGTTAGAGGTTTCAACAACTGAGTTATGTGAAATCCAAGAATAACAGCACACACGGAGAGTGAAAGAGATCAAGGCCGATACAGACAAAGTGATTTCACTTAGAGAACTACGAAGAGCTTCTCTGAAAAAAAAAAAAAAAAAAAAAAGAATAGATTCATGAAAGAAAAAAATTAGCATCAAATAAAATTTGTGGTCAGCAGTGTCACGTCGGTTTGAACAAGCAGAAGGAAGCCTGAGTCACAGAGGAGAGAAGTTATGATGTGAGATTCAAACTGGCTCTCAATTACCTTCATATTTTCCAAAAAATACATAAAATGGCCGGCTCCCGTAGATAGGAAGAAGCGGTTCTTCGTTTCTGTGCACAAATTTCAGACCTGCCTCACTTACCACCCTCCACTCTTCGCCCCTGGCCTCACCTTTCCCGCAAGCCCCTCTCTCCATACTCCACGATTCTGAACACGAAGCCTTGCTCATGTGCCAAGTACACAGCACATTCTGCCTCCTGAGCTTCCCAGGCATGATTCTATTGCCAGTGGAAATAAATTAACTGTCATAATGGGAATAAGCAATTAAGTAAACAGATAGCAATGGCTCATTTAGCCCAGGAACTTTCCAGAAGCAGTACAGCCAGAGAAATGCTTAGCCCTTCTCCCCCAACCAAAGTGTTTCTGGGAGTTCGCGATAGCCGGAGACCCTTTCAGAGACACCATACAGAGCCCCGCCTCTCCTAGCAGCATGCTGGTGGCCAAAAACTCAATTATTACACAATTTATTCCGAATAGAAAATGCCTCAAAAAAATGAGATGTGGGCCGAGAAAATACCATATGCAAGGGAAGTGGTGATGCAGGGGGAAGACAAAGAGGATGAAGTTAAACCCAGCAGATTTTTGAAAATGCAATGCTGGCTAAAATGCATGGCATAGATCCTTCCCATCTTTCCTGCCAGGGGCAAGAGCACAGAGTGCATTGCCCTGCAAGACCCACGGAGATGTCTGTGAGTTTGCAGTTTCTCAGTACATGGAAATCATTATGTCTGTGTTGCAACGGTAGCTCGCATGACTAATTCCTCATCTGAATGGACAGACTGGTTTCCCCAAAGTCTCCTTAGCTTGGTGGGGGGAGGGGCACAATTAAATGTTAATAAGTTTTCTTATATCTGAAGGTTGCTACTAGTCAGGGTGGGGCAGACAAAAGAGAGTAGCTGCTAAGGTTTTATCCCAGCCTAGGAGACTCTGCCATCTGTCCTATGGCAGATCTCTGATTCACAGCTACCTAAGCAAAATTATGGAAATGAGTTTTGCAATACTTAATACCAGTTATGGTGAAATGATAGATTTCTTTGGCACAGTTTTTCCTTTTCATTTTCTAAATAATCCCCCTTGGTGGGCCTACTCCCCACACCATTCCCACTACATCGTGTTGACAAGGATGTATAACACCAACATTCTAGCATCTAAC